ATACTGTGTACATCAAGCGTGATTATTTCATCAGTATTATGGACAAAGTTCAAAAGTGCAATTCAAATATGCTCAGAATGTAGATTGAGCTCGCCTAGTGGTCATAGAGAAGTTATTGATTGTGGGATGATGATGTACGTGAGTGAGTATGTTTTTACGCCGCTTTTACCAATATTCACATATTGTACCCACATGGAAAAGCGACCACAGGTCTTTTTGGCGTGACGAGGGAACGCTTGCAACATGGGACTGTGTTCAGTTCATCATCGTGGCGGTATCAAGAATACATTATGTGAATCATGGAGACATGTCAGTTGTTAAGTAATGCCAATGCTGGCTTGTTTCAGCATCAAATAATGGACACATCACTCTGTCGCCGTGTCTCAGTGGCCTTGTTAGATACTGGGGTATGGTGACCTGTGGTCGAGAACTAGATGGCGTCATTAGTCTAGACGAGTACAAGCAGCCACACGCACACACACGCACGCACGCACACACACACACATACACACACGTCGCTGTCAGAGAGCGACGCCACCTCAAACCCCGTTTCACCTCGTCTCAGTAAAAAAATGAACGAGGCAAAGGTGGCCTTTGTCGCCTCTCGTGTTTGCCACGATGATAGGTATTGTGTGGAGAAAGACAATCAATTCTAGTTTAATAAATTATTTATTCAAAGTGTAGTGTAAAACGGGTGTGGTTGTATAAATATAACGTCCTCCATCGGGAATACATGTATAACACGTTTACAGCCAACAACAACGCAAACAAGGATAATTCAAATTCCGTTTGTTTTTTGCTGTTTTCGTTGAAAAGGTCTTGAAGCACAAATGCAAACATATTTCAATAATAAGTGAACGAGATCATATAGTCAATGAGTGCATTTAACAATCACGGAGTCTGTTGCATCAAGGATTCCAAGCATGCCTTCCTTTGGTCTATCATAAACGTGCGAATCAAACTCCACACACTGTCATATTCGGTGAGCTGTAGAGCGTGTCAGTGAGCACGTCAGAATATTATGGATTTGTCACACTCAGCGTTGTTTCTTCCACACTTGACTGGCTGCGGTCTGTGTATCTGACAAGACAGGAAACGGTTCTGTTTCGATCCGACGAAGCACCGTGTTGCCATTTTTGACACCACCATTATCGCCAGCGTCTCATCTTCAGGACACAAGGGCGTTTGGAATCGCCCGAAACTCAAACACCTTTGGCCATTTCCAAAACAAGAACTTTATCCAAACAACATGAATATCAGTTACCTCTCTTCCGGAATCTTCGAAACAGTTTCCGACCTTTTTTGGACGTCATTGACGACGAAATGGCGTTCTCAAATACTTGTCTTACACCTTCATTTGTCTTAGAAGAGCACTCCAGGTATCCAGTAGCTCCTATTCTGGCAGCCATTGCCATTCCTTCTCGATACTTCACCGGCCCCTGCTTTATACAGGTAACATTGGCATTTTCATAGTCCTCCCTCAGGTCCGACTTGGTGCCTACAAGTAGGATGGGTACATTCCCGCAGAAATCTCGGACTTCCGGCACCCACGTGTGTTCCACGTTCTGGAGACTGTCTGGGTTGTCCACGGAGAAGCAGACGAGAATCACATCAGTATCCGGGTAACAGATGGGGCGCAGACGATCATAGTCTTCTTGCCCGGCCGTGTCGAACAGCGACAGTTTAACCTGGAAAACAAAGTGGGTTCGTTAGACAACCTGAGTGATTGTTGTCAATATTGTCGTAAACACGTCACCTTAAACTATTGGAAACAAACGAAAGATGTTCGAGAGAACAAACTGGATGTATCAGAATTTGTCACTAGGAATAACATTTGTTCACATCGACTGCAGATTAAAGCTGTCTATTCATTTTGACAGTATTTTTCTAACTCTGATTTAAGACAAAAGATCGGCCCCTACGGCGGCACAGCAAGTTGTGATACAATAGGTACTGTAACTAGGCAAACGTCTGTTAATTTTGACAGTATTACTCTACATATCTATATTGCCGACTGTGGCGGTAAACAAAAACACCCTCATTTGTCAGGGCAGAGTACTTACTGTTTTATTTTTATAGATTACTTCTGTGACGTCGGAGTCGAAGACGGTGGGGAGGTAGCCGTTGGTGTGGAACACTCCCTTGTTGAATCTATATAGGAGGCAGGTCTTGCCACACTCCCCATCACCAACAACCACCAGCTTCTTCCGGATGACGGGGTGACCCTCCTCAACCTCTGTAATACAAACACAGTTGTTACTATTACACCTCCACAATACAAACGTATTTAGTAAACAGTTTAACGTTTTAGAATAAAACCATTACTTGACAAACAACTCAGTGCAGAATATACAAACTTAACAAATAACACTTATCACATAGCAACTGAAGCATTCGACTTTTACGACTGTGAAGTGAAGGGCGTGGCCTTTACCCAAAGCCCTGTCGTCGGGTGGGTGTTGGAGGGGTGGAGATGTGTCACGTCATGGTTCTGGTGCGACGACATCTGAGTTTAAACCTAACACAGTAAACCCTTACACTGTAGCATTACCTGAACAGAATCACTAACAACTGACACGTATCATCATAATGAGATGTTAGTGGTAATTTCCAAATACAGACTCGGAATGGTGAAGAGGGGAGGCTAATATAGGTGCACTTATTATCTGTGTAAAATATATATTAAAATAAATCTGAATATCAATTCATTAGTACTGTGGCCTGTATCTTAAGTCAGTTGTCGTATGTTTGGTTAGTCTGCAGTACAATGGGTACATTCCATTACCCTTAAACGGCCATATATATTATCAATAAATATATTTTGATCAAAGATATTTTCTCTTCACTTGTGTAAGTGAATCCCGAACCAAGTAACGCCCATGCCGGTTTATGTTGTCCAGGTAGGTGGCCCTACCTATGTCGCAAGCAAACATTAGATCATAATTCACTCGTCGAAATTCAGATCGCAACCAAACTTCCACTCACCTAATGGTTTAACACAGCGAAACATATTTCTGCTATCTAATCCAAGGTAGGTAATACATCGGTACAGCTGTCCCAGCCTGGTCGTCGTCGTCGGACATTAATCCCACATCGCTCTGTCGCCGTGGTATATATGCTACCGCCATACGGCCGAAAATAGCTCGGAATATCATTGGTTCATCGGAGGCCATGTTTATTTATATCGCAAAGCGTCGCAGCATAGATATAAGCTAAAATACATACATTCGAGTTTAGTAAGATACTGCAAATAATCTCACGTTTACTAATCATACTAAGAATATGTAGTATATATATTTAGGTTTCATTTAGTGTTGCACATGTTGAGTTACTGTAGAATAGTGTCGCCGAACGCAAAGGGAGCTAACTCTACTTCGTAAGGCGTTTCCACAAGTGACTTCGTACCGACCGGCCATGGACTTGGGTGTGGTTGTTTTCGCATTGTTCATGTTGAATGATGACACGTGGAGCCGTCGGCAAAGAGATTTACGACAGGATTTAATGCATGCTGACAGACACAGAGAATAACATAAGCAAAGAGGGAACCGCCCTGCCTGAACCCTATACATATATCCTTCAGGCTCTATCTGCACAATTTATTTTATTAAGAGGGAAAATTATGTGTTTTTGAGGGATACTCCCCCCATTATTTGGGAAATCTTTAGAACTGTGGGAGGATGCTACCCAGTTGTGTTGACATGGCAACGCTTTGTCTCCATGGTCTGGTGATCTGCTCGCAGTGCCTTTTGTGCGTACAATAATTACGAATGTGCGTTATTTAATAAACCATAGGGTCTAAAGTAAGTTTGACAGGTATTTGTTTACTGATGAAAGCCAAGCTGCATAAGTTGTATTAATATACATATTCCCAGGTCAGATAACCGTAACAATCCTGTGGGTTGTTTTTTTCTATACTTCTATCATGTATGTGTGGGCTGAAACCTTAACAGCAGAGTTAATCAATCATTGTTGTGTCACTGAGAACGGTTTACTATGACGGGATACATGCATTAATATGAAACACTTGCTCAAACAGGTATGCAGCCCTGACTGTTCTTAATTGTTTGATTTACACATTTTAAATCCTGGCTAGTTAATATGCATGCTTTGTCATAGGGCGAGGCTGAACTGATGATTATTATACACATGGAAACAAATATCGCAACATCCCATGCTGTTCATAGTATCTACATGTAAACTGTAGCAAAGGAGTTTATCCAAACCCCAATCTAATTTATTATATGGATAAACTGACCCTCCAGGAAAACTTCAATTTAAACGCAAAAAGAACGAAAAGCAAACATATTGACTATCGTATGATAGAAAGATCAAATAGATATTCTTTATTTCCTCCAATTGAATGAAGATTATATGCCGCAGACATAATTGCGTCGCATGATGTACATGGATTGGTGATATGTTTAAGCAGGCTTACAATATTGATTACTTCTGCACACACATCTCTTTCTAGTTCCATAATTCATTCTCATGGACATCCACCAAGCAGAAACGCAAGAAAAATGCCATCATCCTTCTCAGATCTTAACTGGTCATTCATCTCTGCGGGTAGTTTCCAGAGAAAGCGTTCATTACCAGATCTTGTACTGACATATCTTGACAGACGCAGTCTTGAATTAAGATGGATTGTTTCGATGAGATCTAATAGCAGTTCCTATTAATAAATCGACAATTATTTACATAGTTAAAAAGTGTATCGTTTAGGTTATACTATACTTCTGTTCAAGTTGTAGCATAATATATATATCGGGCGTTTTCTACTAAACTACCTTCCGAATTCACTTGACCAAAAAATAGCAACAAAGACCTAGGTGAGATTTATGATAATTATTTTACAAACTGTAATCATTTTGTAATAATTTGACCGAAAAATCATTGTACTGCTGGTCTTGCATTTGGCGCAATTTACTGAGAAGGTGCCAAAATTTAAACTTACACAAATGAGAGTTAATTCAAAAAGTGCATTAAAGAGTCATACATCATCAATAGCGAGTGTGACCACCCTGGGCATCCATACACGCCAACACACGTCTCCTCATTGACGCCGTCAGTCGGCGGATGACGTCAGCAAGAATCCTGTTCCATAACTCCGAGAGAGTCTGTGCAAGTTCCTGTCGGTTCGCCGGAGGCGGTACACGCTGTCTCAGCTGACGATCAAGATGATCCCAGAGATGTTCAGTGGGGTTCATGTCTGGAGAACGCGCTGGCTAAGGCAATACGTTGACGTTAACGTTGTGCAGGTATTCTCGAACAATTCTGGCGGTGTGAGGCCTTGCGTTGTTATGCTTCAAAGTGACTCCTCTTTCCTGTTGTCGAATAAAGGGCACCCCAAAGGGTCTCAACACTTCATCCCTGTATCTCTGGGCATTCAGATTGCCCCGGATGATAACAAGTCTTGTTGTTCTCAGGCCACAAATGCCGCCCCATACCATGTCGCGTACTCCATCAAATAGAGGACATTTTGCACTTCTTGAACTCTTGGTCTTCCCGATTTGTGCGGTCTTGGGTCTGTCCTGTTTGCATGCAGCGGTTTATCAATTTGCTGATGGTGGCTGCAGTTGAAGATTCTTGCTAGCTGACGTTGTGCTAGCTGACGCATTGGCCATACCGATCGCCCTGTCTCGTTGCGCTTGGTAAGTCTTGGCAGTCTGGTGCAACATATCAGGCATAACGACACTCGAATAGTGCAACATATCAGGAATAATGACACTCGAATAGTGCAACATATCAGGAATAATGACACTCGAATAGTGCAACATATCGGGAATAACGACACTCGAATAGTGCAACATATCGCATACAACATATCAGGAATAACGACACTCGAATAGTGCAACATATCAGGAATAACGACACTCGAATAGTGCAACATATCAGGAATAACGACACTCAATAGTGCAACATATCAGGAATAACGACACTCGAATAGTGCAACATATCAGGAATAACGACACTCGAATAGTGCAACATATCAGGAATAACGACACTCGAATAGTGCAACATATCAGGAATAACGACACTCAAATAGTGCAACATATCAGGAATAACGACACTCGAATAGTGCAACATATCGGGAATAACGACACTCGAATAGTGCAACATATCAGAATAATAACGAATAGTGCACATATCGGGAATAATGACACTCAATAGTGCAACATATCAGGAATAACGACACTCAAATAGTGCAACATATCGGGAATAACGACACTCAATAGTGCAACATATCAGGAATAACGACACTCGAATAGTGCAACATATCAGGAATAACGACACTCGAATAGTGCAACATATCAGGAATAACGACACTCGAATAGTGCAACATATCGGGAATAACGACACTCGAATAGTGCAACATATCAGGAATAACGACACTCGAATAGTGCAACATATCAGGAATAACGACACTCGAATAGTGCAACATATCGAATAATAACGATATCACTCGAATAGTGCAACATATCAGGAATAACGACACTCGAATAGTGCAACATATCAGGAATAATGACACTTGAATAGTGCAACATATCAGGAATAACGACACTCGAATAGTGCAACATATCAGGAATAACGACACTCGAATAGTGCAACATATCGGGAATAACGACACTCGAATAGTGCAACATATCAGGAATAACGACACTCGAATAGTGCAACATATCGGGAATAATGACACTTTAATAGTGCAACATATCGGGAATAATGACACTTGAATAGTGCAACATATCAGGAATAACGACACTTTAATAGTGCAACATATCGGGAATAATGACACTCGAATAGTGCAACATATCGGGAATAACGACACTCAAATAGTGCAACATATCAGGAATAACGACAACAATAGTGCAGCATAACGACACTCAAATAATAACGATATCACTAATGACACTCAAATAGTGCAACATATCGGAATAACGACACTCAAATAGTACAACATATCAGGAATAACGACACTCGAATAGTGCAACATATCAGGAATAACGACACTTGAATAGTGCAACATATCAGGAATAACGACACTCGAATAGAGCAACATATCGGGAATAACGACACTCAAATAGTACAACATATCAGGAATAATGACACTCGAATAGTGCAACATATCGGGAATAACGACACTCGAATAGTGCAGCATATCGGGAATAACGACACTCGAATAGTGCAACATATCGGGAATAATGATCAGTACTGGTACATGGCAACATGTTGGATATGATAGTCAATAAATTTGAAATATGTCCGAGTCAACTATATTTCACGAGTTACAGGTAATCCGTAATTCCGAGATGTGTCGATGTGTTCTTTATGTCACAGTCGTGTTGCTGTGTAAGATTAGTAAGATGTAGGCCTGACATAGTCTCCGGTTCCCAATTGCGCAGATCGATACTCATGCTGTTGATCACTGGATTGTCTGGTCCAGACTCGATTATTTACAAACCGCCGCCATATAGCTGGAATATTGCTGAGTGCGGCGTAAAACTAAACTCACTCAGTTTTCAACTAAACTAAACTCAATGAGGAAATCGGCATTTATTTGTGATAGTGCCTCCATATTGACGCTATTGACCTCTTCACAAACAATGTAAACAATGGAACAACTGGAGCCAGTAATTCAGTCTGCATAAAACAAGATGACAATGCTCATTGAAGAATTCCTAAAGGTTCATCACCTTAAACTTTATATATGTCTCTGTAGGTAATATTTCTTTTCAGAATCCGTTTATACAGACAACCAGACACAATTAATAGCATGAAGTTGTGACAGCCGAAAAACCCAATCTGTGGATCACGTCCCTGGAATTTGGCGTCCTCGGTGGAGTATGAAAGTTATGACGTCGTTCTGCACCACGCCCATATTTGCCCGCCAGTCAGCTGAATGAAACTTACATCCGCCCCGCGCGACGTTTATTGCTCCAACTGCATTAAAGGGTTTACTTTAATGGCTATATGTTACACAAAAAGGGATGTGGAGATTTTTACCATAAGACTTGCAGATTTAAACGATTTGGTTCCATGATGTATGGCAGACAATTGCGCCATTTGGTCTCGTGATGTGACACATGTATACAGCAGGCATGTCGATATGTATGTGTTGCTGGACTGACGAACCTGGCATGGCGATACTGAAATGTTTGGTTTTGTTTAGCAATATTCCAGCAATATGGCTGGACTGTCCCAGTTGATTCGAACCTGGCTGGCGTGAAGCTTCTATAGGTCGTCTTTCATACTGAAACAATGTATACCATTGTATACACTGAAATACCAGTATCACACAGCTATAGTGATTCCTCTGTTCATCCAGTGGCAAATGGGTAATCGATTATTATGTAGTGAATGTGTTGTTTTATCGTATAAGGGAGATTGCGTCAGGTATACTTCGAGGTTTCTAAATTCTCGGCAGGAGAGAGCAAAGTATTCTTACCAGTACTTCTGTATCTCGAGAATAAACTGCAATAGCGTATTTGAATATAGATAGAAATAAACCCTCGCTATGTTGTATTGTTAGGTATTTACTTCCCCTGTTGTTTCACGATTACAAACCCCTCATATTCCCGAGTCTGTGCGCAGTCACTCTTTATGTACTGACTGCAACAATTAGATACTCTGTTGATTGCTGGAAATAATACACGAGCTGAACATAACATGTCACTCTTTATGTACCGACTGCAACAATTATAGCTTAACATGGGGAAATTATCCTGAGGGTAACAACTCTGTCCTTCCAAGTCACTTGTAATAACGACACGGGGTCATGCACGTGAATTGCGCTCTGACCTAACCCGTAAGCTGTTACGTTTACTGCGACCACGCCCTGTCTCATGACACGAAAACCAACAGAAATTTTAATGATTGTTACTTATGAACCTTTTCCCCAAGTGACCAAAACAAAGTTAAAACGATTTTTCTTACTATGTCAAAGTGATCATTAAGCTATACGTTAATGGCATGTGGTCAGTTGGTGTCATTTGGAAGATATTTGACAAAAGGGTTGTCCCAAAAGTTGGGTTGACAGACTAGAGAGACCGTTGATTACTAGAAATAATACACGTACTGAACCACACAACGTGTCACTCTTGTCGGTCCAAGCGGCAGGAAATGAAGAAAACCACGGCAAAGGAATGAAGCAGGAGACAGGGCTTCTGGGTATAAACGCCAAGACCCATGGCCAACTGGAATGTTCTTGTACAATAAATAACAAAACCCTCGAACATAATGTTTTATGCAAAGACACTTTTAACGTCACCTGTGACAGTGTACTCGTCAGTGTTACTTTGTTAACGTTTACCTATTAAACCCCCTACGCCACAGCATGCTTGGCAGCTTGCACTTTACACATGCAGTTGGCTTTCTGACAGTTCTTGTTTTTTCAACTAACGCCAGTCTGTCTCTACGTTTTGGAACTTTTTCGTGTTTTCTTGTTCCATCACTTTGAGCATGCATTTTGTGGTTCCATTTCAGTGCAACAGGAGGCGTCTTTTTATATCATTAATTATTTTCAATTGTTATGTGTACTAAACCTTGAGCGAGAGTACATCAACACACAGCGGAGATCACAACAAACACTGCTCAAGGTAAGTAGCATCGCATTATAGTTTCTCGGACACAATACGTTGACCTGGGTATTTAATAAACAGTTCTGCCCACACTTCGTCCTCCCGTCTTTGCCCAGACAAACAGATGAGCAACAGATCCCAAATATACCCGGAAAACTACTAACTCCAGGGGCACCTTCACATATCCTGTACCATTAAATACGTAAGACCCGTGAAGATCCGGGTTAGAATTGATCTTCAGTAACCCATGCTTGTCCTAAGAGGCGACTAACGGGATCGGGTGGTCTGGCTCGCTGACTTGGTTGACACATGTCATTGTATCCCAGTTGCGTAGATCGATGCTCATGCTGTTGATCACTGGATTGTCTGGTCCAGACTTGATTACTTACAGACTGCCACTATATAGCAGGACTATTGCGGAGTGCGGCGTAAAACTGAACTCACTTACTCATGAAATACGTTAGCATCTATGAAGAGGAACATTAATTGTCATCAATAAATGCCGAATGGTGTTACACTATCATTTCCTTACTTTTGATAGTGAGTGAGTATGGTTTTACGCCGCGTTTAGCAATATTCCATCAACATCACGGCGGGGGACACCAGCAATGGGCTTCACACATTGTACCCATACTTTTAATACCAAGTCAAGGTGTCAAGTATGTTTATTCATGTTTTAGGCCGTTGGCCCATATACATGTAAATTTCAATACATAATTCATATATGATATCTACAATAGTTACACTTTCAATGATGTTTGCCTTCATTTAAGGCTATGAAACATATATTTACATACTTTGAGCATTAGTGTATCAATTGTCCGTCATCATGAGGCACTTCAACTTGAAGAATTTTGGATCATTACCAAAATACCATGGAAAATATAATTTTAATTCATTTTAATGTTCACGCACAAGTAGAAAATGATACTCATTTTCCACGTCAAGTTCACAAAGTGGACATATTCTTAAATCATCAAGTATGGACTATGAAGTAAGTGTCTATTTTTGTATACGTGATAGCCACTCCTTCACATTCATATATTGTGCTGGTCTGTTCATGTGTATCTGTATAAGCTCGTGTTCTTATTAATCATAGTTCAATTTTAGACGGTGCCCATACCACGGACAGTCTGTATGATACTAAATATAACCGAGACCACGTGCTTCGGGCATTTGACTGCCTGCGTCATACAGGTATGGTCTTCATTACAGATTATGAAGATCAAAACACACGCCGTCACGCCGGGGTCAACGAACTAACAGCCTGAACACAATACACTCGCAGTCACCGTCGGCTGTGCAGACCTACCTTGGGATTCCCCTCTGTTAGTCGGTGCTAAAAATAGAAAAGCTTTAAAAAGCAGCCAATCAGGGCTTCGGATAAATATAGCTAAACTCGATTTGTATAAGTAAGCAGATCGTGTGCTGTGGTTCTACAATCTGAACAACCAACAGAGTGACGACATCGATTCAACTTTACTCTGGTCAAGATACTCATATATACGAAACTTTCAAAATGTTCTGCTGTATGCAACGACAAGGTAAGAATGATTATAAAAATTGTGATGCGCTCGCTAAACAAGAAAGTGTTTTATAATGGACGTGAATGTTATCGTATTTATTTATTTATTTAATTTATTTATTTAACGTGACGTCACAGTTTTTCACGGGGAACATGAAAGGTGTTTTGATTATTCTAAAATAGATCTGTATAATGACTTAAATATATATGTAACTTCGCATCACAATTGCCACTGGAGGCGTTAATGACGTTCAGGTTAATAATAAAAAAAGTCATTTCGAATACGTTAAAATAATGTGGCTAACAAAGAATGGATTTACAATTTGTTTTTCAAGTACAGTCAAACCAGGGCTTCGACCTGACAAGCAAACGCTTTAACAGTTAGGCAACCTAATATCAGTGAATTTAATGAAAAATACAAGATACTATCTAACTATGTTGTTAGTTAGTTACTTAGTTAGTTAGAAATTGTGGTGCGCTAAACAGAAAGTGTATTATTATTTATTTATTTATTTTTTTTTTATTTATTTATTTATTTATTTATTTATTCATTCATTCATTCATTCATTCATTCATTCATTTTCATTCATTCATTCAATTGTTGTCTCGTCTTCCAGTGTCCTTGGAAGGGGTGGTGAGTCAGCCCCGTAAGAAGCTGGTGGTGGTGGGGGACGGGGAGTGCGGCAAGACATGCCTCCTCTACCGCTTTGCTAAAGACGAGTTCAACGAGCACATCTACATCCCTACTGTGTTCGAGGTAGATGTCACAACAGTCCAGCACTGCAACTCAGAGGTGAGCAGATCAACTCCTTATCAGCTGCAATTGTATCTGAATTATCTCATTGTGTGTCAATATGACGAAAGACAGTCTTCGTCCACAATAAGTGTTGAGAAAAGAGTCCTTTGATGAACAGATAATTAATTTGTTCTAGCCAAGTTTACCATGCATTAAAGCGTATTTACTGTTTACCTAAATATATGCTGGTCTATCCTAACACGTCCTTGTTGTTTTAAGGTGGAGCTGGTGCTGTACGATACCGCTGGACAGGAAGACTACGACCGACTGCGTCCCTTCTCCTACCCCGACACCGACATCGTCCTCATCTGCTTCTCCGTCAACAACTCCGACAGCCTCGAGAACGTCTCCTACAACTGGGCTCCTGAGATCCGACACTTCTGCGGCAACGTACCGGTGATCCTTGTGGGAACAAAGCAGGACCTGAGAGGCGAGACGCCCAGCACGGACTCCAAGGACTCCCCCAAGTCCAAGTCCGGGTTCACCACTGTCCAGCAGGGTGAGGAGATGGCCTACAGGATCGGAGCAGTGGCCTACATGGAGTGCTCAGCGAAACTGAACGACGGTGTGACGGAAGTGTTCACCAGAGCTGTGGCTGAAGCCATGAAGAAGAAGAAGAAGAAGAGGACTAAAACTGGCTCCGTGACATGTCCCTTCTTTGCTGTTAAATGACTGAAGTGATGTAGGGACTCCAGTGAACACGTTTCCAGACGTTGTGTAATAAAAATAAGTGCAGTTTTCATCACGAAGCCGTGATGTAGCCTTGTGGGTATAGTGTCCATCTGCCACATCGAAGGTCTGGGTTTGATTCCCCACGTGAGTACAGTTCGTGAAGCCCATTTCTTGCATCGCTAACCGTCACATTCCTGGAATAATGGTAACAGTGGCGTAAAACAATACTCACTCACTGATCTGTTCAAATACTCAGAACGATATCCAGTTCTCCAAGCCTGACATGGTCCACACACACCTGCTATACGGACATTCCAGGGAGTCGGACGGTTGATTCACGAGTATCTATAGATACTGAAGAAGGAAGTTGGTACACCATGGATGGCATCGTGATACAGGCCTCATCTGTTTGATACCAAACCAACCAACAAGATGGATTAATACTCGAGTGAAAGGGGCCACTTCCGATTGATATTGCTACACAGTATTTGTATTTTTCATTATGTACACTGGTATCAGGTGGCCTAATACTTCTCAGGTCGAAGCCCAGGTTTGATTGTACTTGTAAACAAATTGTACATAAATTCTGTAAGCCACATTCTTTTAACATATTCGAAATGGCAATATTTAGTAATAACCAGAATATCATTAACGCGTCCAGTGACAATAGTGATGCGAAGTTACATATATACAGTATGTAAGTCATAGTATAGATCTATTTAAGAATAATTAAAACACCTTTCATGTTTTCCGTGAAAGACTGTGACGTCATGTTACCCTGGCCCCCCACCCCGGGGCTGTTGAGAGGGGAGGTATTTCATCCATGTTGTTTATGTGTTGTGAAGTATCTGTGATATTGTTTACCGCCACCTGTGCAATGGCATTTATGGATTGTTGACTTAATAAATTATTAATTAAAGTGTGCTTTCTGCATTTCTTCTTACGGTTACTGACGAACTGTCCTTGCTAATGTCGTTAAATCAGATCGTTTTCCTCGACATGATACCTTCAGGAAGACAGCTATCGTAGCCGTGAAGAGACATATCGGAGTACAGGCTCTGGTTTGGATGAGATCCCTAGAAAGCATTGAGTCTCGTAGGCATGGGTTCATGATACTGGTAACACATTGATTGTGTAGCATCACCTCTGTCAGTCAGAGATTCAGGGTATGGTGAGGTGAGGTGAGGTGAGGTGAGGTGGTTTATAGCCACTTAGAACATTTATTTAGATATATTTACTGCGGGCCAAGTTAGTGTCGCAGGAAAGCCCGACATTGTAATGTAATGTAATGTAATGTAATGTAATAATATTTTGGGGACATCAACGCAGTAATGTTAGAGGTCTAACTGGTATTTCTTTCCACTTATGAAACATGAATAAAATATGTTACACACAAATGCTCCTACAATATAGAACAACATCATTTACAACCTCCTAATCTGACAATCATCTTTAATGATTGACTTCTCTGATACCAGAAACACGTAAAATGTTATTGGAATATAATATTGATATGCTCAGTATCTATATAAATATGCCCAACAGGTCTGATGGGAAAGTAGTCTATATTATATTAAGCTATGATTCGCTGACCATTCCACCATAGCTGAACCAGTTTAGAGACGTCAGAAATATACAGCCTGGAATCAGTGGCAGCCATCTTGTACATGGATACAAAATAAACACACAAAATCTTTATTAACTGCAGCTACTTGGTATCCATAAGAACTTAACATACCAGCCAATCAAGGGCGGCGTTAAGGGCAACATTCAGTATTCTAAGATACTAGGCACAGTTACCTCCCTTTGTCTACTGTGGGCGCCTTCACAATTCACAGGAATGTTGTTTTATTAAGATGCAAACTGCTTGTGATGCTTTACTGTCAGAATGTGTAAAATAGGTTAAGTTCTATGTACGTTCATTCCATAACGTGACTTTGCACGCGTGCGTATGTGTGAGTGTGTGCGCTGAAGAATGATCACCAGAATAATCGCTTGACAAACTATAAGTCACGTTAATCAGAGGCCATATACCGGACTAGCATGCATGGATGACAGACAGGCAGATTGTTTATTCAAGTCTCACTTTGTATATACATTAAAATATAATACAAGACATACATTCACATAGCATATATAACATTATAAGATGTACACAAACCACTCCTTTTGGAGTTAGGAGAGACTAGACAAACATTAAAATACATACAACTTTATAAGGTATTAGTGATATAAAATACATTTTCGCAAAATACATTTGGATTGTATTGGAAAAATTTGATTAAGGTCTGCATGAAAGACAAGGGGATCATGCTTCATGGCTGTGTGTTCCTTACTAGTCTCTAGAGGTTGTAAATACGCAAATTGAAAATACTTCAATTGTCAATATAAATATGGAACCTAAATCTGCTAGACTGACTTATGTAATCACACTTGTGTAATAACGTACTGACCTGAATAGTAATTATAGAATAATTACAAACTGACCTTTGTAAAAACAAGTAATGGCGAGTTGGTAAGATTTTACGCCACTTTAATCAGTATTCAAGACGTTATCACGGCGTGGTTTTGCACTCGATATACAGTATCTAAAAAAACATTTTCCAGTATGGGAAAGAGAGTCACGCAAGTCGCTGAGTCAAGTTGAGCCCCTTTGGTTCACCAGGAACTTTGACCGTGGGTTCGAATCACAGGGGTTCGAATCACTGTTCGGACAATAATTTTAAATTTAAAAATCCAGACTTTTGCAATCGTGTATACACTTAGTCTGTCGTACAGACCCTGAAGCAAATATATCCAAGAAAGCCCACGCAAGTCTAGAAAATGTGGCAGGTCTAGATTTCCACAGCTTCTGAAAACGAAGAAAGTCCCTGGGCTCCTTTTATTGTATTTACAATTTTAATTTAAAACTTTTATTTTCTGTAAAATATGTTCATTTCAGAGACTAGCTGTTGGTCTAGTATACACTGTGTATTTTATGTAACGAGTGTATACACTGTGTATTTTATGTAACGAGTGTATACACTGTGTATTTTATGTAACGAGTGTAACGGTATAATTTTCTAAAATATTCATTTCTTCACCGATTTCGTTCAAATTTGGAACATATTTTATTCATAACATATAAAAAGCAATACACGATTGCAAAAGTCTAGATTTTTATTTTTAAAATCATTGCCCAAACAGTGATTGTCCCTGATTGGGCACAATAACCCATGCTCAGTGGTTTCACTGAAGTACTATGTACAGTGGTCAACACCTGATACCTGCGTCACTTCCGGCTCCAAATTAAAAATCTAGATTTGTTAATATCTACATCAGAAGATAAAACCAAAACAAAGACCTGTTTTTAAACAAAACAATTAATTTATCGTTTCTGTTTTCTTATGTATTCAGGAAACAAGAAACATATACAGCAAGATCATTTGTTGTCAAATTTTGCAGATTTTGAATCCATAACACAGATTACACTGCAAGCAAAAGCAGCAGAGAAGAACAGGGATAAACAACAGAAGATAAACAACAGAGGATAAACAACAGAGGATAAACAACAGAGAACATAAGAATGACTTGAATCAGGTGTTACTGTCACAAAGTTGGCTAGGCTCGCTGACTTGGTTGACACATGTCATCGTATCCAATATAGCAGGAATATTTTATTTGTGTGGCATATTTAGAATTTGGTGAATCAGATATGGACAGACTTTATGGATGAAAAAAAGCTATATTCGGGTGATGCGACGTTTCCTTACATATTTTTGTATCGTTGTCAAGCAAGTCAGGTTAAAAACAGGGATATAAAATCTGATGCGGTTGTTATATATCGGATAATATTGCTGAGTGTGGCGTATTACAACAACCAACCACAAAGTTAGACACTTCGGTCATTAAAACTTTTTTGTTAGTTTAAAACATAATAGTGTATTAACAAATGAAATATAAGAAAGAAAATAGTTAACACCAAGCGTCTTGTCATATACCTGCAGTCTTCTTCCCAATACTGACACAGGAGAGAGAGAAGGAGTTACTCCCCCTAGAGGTGGCGCTGTCTAACGTTATTGGGACACTTCCGGGTTATTGTCGTCACAATCACATGAAGTTTGGTAGCTCAGTTTAGTTGACTAACAGGTGTTGCGAATTAGTAATTGTGATAGTTATCGAGAACAACCCATACACTCAGAGTCGCCATGGATTTCTTTAAGAAAAAGCCTACCGTGGAACGTAAGTTACCTACTTGATCAGACGTTTTTCAGTCTTTTCAAATTTTAGTGAATGACAAGGTATTGTGGCCGTTATCCTGAAAACAACCTAATGTTCTAATTCTGAATGACTCTTAGTGGTAAACTCTAAGTATCATTACGTTCATCCGCTTGTTCCATTTCGTTGCTACTGGGTATATCACCATAAATCGTATCATAAATTCCAAGGTTATGGAATCCTACAGAATACCTACGTTTGACATTTTATGCCTAGGATTCATATATTGCGAAATTTTAATACAAACAGTCGTATGTCGTTGTCACGCTGATGTCATGATTACTGACGGTTTGAAAATGTGAACGTTTAGCATGTTCATTTGTTAATTCAAGATAAACAACCTAACGTGAAACGTCTTTACTGCATGAACATTATATCAGTCAGCATATGACTGAATGGATATGATCAGGAGGATATTGATAAACACGATGGTACAATTGCGTCAGAACAAAACACAGTCTTACAGGCTCATGAAAAAACATGTGTACGAGTTCCGCCCGTAACCCTCGCTTAAAATGTCAAAGTGTAAATTGATGTTTTTGTGAAAATAAAAAATTATAAAGGGTTAGGTTAGTGTTAGTATGTATCAGAGCGGATACTAACTCACTATTACTTATAAAAAAAGCGGGGTTACAGGCTTAAATCTTCCCCAAACATGTTTATGTCTTGTTTTGATGTTAAAACGTTCTTGTTAAAGGTCACATACAACAAAAAAAAAACATAATTAAAACACAATTATCACTTATTCATGACATATATTATACATTACTGATTATGAAAAAACAAACAAAATTATAAGCGTACAATCGCAAATCGAAAGTGCGATATTTTGTACTTAGGTTTACTTGCCTCGAAACAAAGCACCTGGGATACCGAACCCAATCAGAGCGGGTGGGCATGCACTTAAGTGTCATGAAGCATTTCATTGGCTGGTTCATTTGCCGATATGCTTAGGCCTTTTTGTGTGTGTATAGAGATGTTGGGTTTTGTAAATACATGCTCATTTTTTGTGCATAACATTTGGCAATCAACAGACATCATAACATGTCATGTGTACAAGTATCACACCTGCCTGTCTGTGTAATTACATAATGTGACAGACACATAACTCGGGCCGTAAATCAATGCGTTTTGTTTATGGTGTATAGCCTCATAGATGTTAAGTTCAAATTGCATGAGGTCACTGATCGAAGTTGTGTATTGCATATTGTCATTAGCAGGCAGACACACAGGTGTCAATAAATCAGACATTGAGTTTTGTCTGTGACAAAGACACATCTATATCACAGTTAGAAATTCTGACAATGTTAAATAATGACGTTGCTTTTAAGTATCGAACTGAGGAAGTGACTCCGTAAGAACGTGTGGTGAAATAGTAAAATTAAATCATATACACAGTTAAATCGGTAATCTACTGTCATAACTTATAAAAAGCTCGCACCTGTGAAATATCAACAAAAGTCAAAACATTAGAAAAATAGCTCATATCAAAGCCTACTCTGAGTACTCACCGCCAGCGAAGGGTTTCCGTCTTGAAATGTCGAACGCTTTACTGGTTGACACATAGCTGAGGAGATCTAGATCCTTAACATGGTTCTTTTATGTGAGTAGATTATTTGCTATTGTTGTTTGTGTACACAACCAAGATTAGACTACTCCTGCTCACGACCTTATAATCGGGGAATCCCCGCTTCAAGCTGCACGGTTCGAACCTATTCACCGCGAACCTATTTTTCAACCCCATAAGTTGAATTTGCATTTTTGATCAGTTGTTACTGTAAGTCGATACCGAAAGGTATCAAAGTCTGCAAAGTTGTGTTTTACGTTGCATGTGACCTTTAAGGGATGTAGTGTGAGAAACCTGTTTCTGGTGTCACCAGCAGTGATGTTGATAGGAATGTTTGGTACACCTACAAAATACCGGATACCTACCAACCATGCTTTAGTGCCGCACTTCCTATTATAGGGAAGCGTGAACTATAAAATTCGAAAAGATGGGAGAGCATCAAAATAAAAAAATAACAATTAAAATCGGAATATTTGGGACGACTTGTTAGTAAAACTAACCGACGATTTTGAAAATGAAAGTTAAGTTATCACAAATATAAAGTATATATGTGTTTGAAAAGAACGGAGCTACAGAATTCTGGGAGTTGAGCGAATGAGTGTGGTAACCCATATCACATTTCTTAAACTAACCCTAAAGGAGATAGTAACAGATATCCAAGGGCTAAAAAAGTAAGCTGCACTAAGATAACGAAGTACTAAAAACTTGAGTCAAGTTGCGCACATAGTTTGCGTAGACATACATATAACATATATATGATAATATTTATTATATAACACTTAATAATATCTATAATATTATGTATAATATATAGGGGTGAAACAGTATAACGCGGTATTAGTAGAACCGCAATATTTGGCCTTTGGCTCGGTGTACTGTAATGCAATCCAAAAATTCGGTGTTAGCCATTTAAATGACAGTTTTGTTCATTCAAAGTAACAAAGATTATGGTTATTTTTTCCCCATGTTATTAAGCAATGTAAGGTTTGGCTCTTGTCAATTTCCTGCATTGTTGTCATGTGCCGAACTGAAACGGACCAAACCGAAGGCATTGTACCACAATACGTCCCGTACTGTGGTAAGACCATACAGTTTCACCCCTAATAATATAGCATTAAGCCCATTAAGATTTATTTAACATATTGTATATAATATAACATTTTGAAGATATTTAAGTGCTAATATGGTGTATATTGTATGTGATGATTTTATAAATAAAAATATGATTATTATTATGTCTTTATCAATATCATCAGAGCAAATTCGTCAGAATGATCGGGTGTTGAAGAAACAACAGAGAGACATTGCCAGAGACAGGGGTGCACTGGAGAGAGAGGAGAAGAAACTGGTAATTATATAGATTAGGCCACAATTATGAATTAACATTATTAATCTTCTGATTTTCATGCACAGTTTCACTCTTCTTTGCTTGTATAGTTTGCAAACAAGTTGTTCAGTTTATTTGTAATGTACTTTACATGTAGCATGAAAGTTTGGTGTCCGTGTGTATGTGTACATAATGTACATAGGTACATAATGTACATGGCCATGTTCTTATTTAGTATGGTAAATTCACAGTACTTAGGAGGGATTCCTTTCTATCAAACATAAAGGAAGTGTTACATCTGAAATATATTTTCTAGCACATAATCGGTCGGTCTGTGTGACTGATACACTCTTGAGACTGATGGTGAGAGTACTCACCAAATAGCAGTCTACCCAGTCCAAATATGGCTCCAGCTTACTAGACTCAACAGAATTTTACTAGACTCTAGTTCTGTGCCAGTTCCTGGTGTTGCAGACAGGATTACAGAATGCAAAGGTTGAATTAAGATTCTGTGAGATTTAACTTGTTCCTGTCAAATCATGCCCGGGGTTGTTGCAGAGTACTAAAACTGTGATAAAAACGGCGACTCCCATACCTTCATACAGAACTGCTGTAGTGCTAACACCCCATGTACTCCTGTCTCCTTGCGACATGTTTCATACCATACATGTTTCATACTGTTGGAGTCTGTCCAGACTTTCTATGTATGCTGATACAGACCTGATGTTTTGTGTTTCAGGAACTGGAAATAAAAAAAGCTGCAAAACAAGGCAATAAGCAGGTAACTTGAACATGTTCAAGTAGATTCATTTTGTTTTACAAGTGTTGAACATACAGTTAGTGAAACATGACATTGGATGCTTGTGTCAACTGAGTATATCGGGAGTCTGAGCGAAGCAGAGGAAGACATGTTATACTCACTAAACTCAATACAGTGGAACATTATGCAAGAACCAGCTCATGTTGGGGACTTTTACACAACAAGTGACAAGTATTTGATAATGTTCTGATTTTTATTACTTGAAAACTAAAAATGTATACTATGTCCTATATAAACTTATGCAGTAGTATACAAACAAATGGTATTTCTGTCATCGGTTTTGGAAATCAACAGTTTTCAGTATTTGTAAACACAAAATATGTCTTTTTGAACAGTAACAAACATATTTTTATCACATGACTATCATATGTATGATCAGTGCCACATGAAAGACTGTCACCATATGTCCATTCAGACAGTTTGTAATGTTCATGACTTTCTTCCACAGGCTGCAACTATCCTGGCAAAGCAACTGGTACAATTACGCAAACAGAAAACAAAATCCTATTCCATGGGTTCCAAAATTCAGTCTATAGGCAACCAACAAAAGGTTTGTATCCATATCTCTTGAGTTGAGTTTCAGTGTCCAGTGGTCACAGTCATTGCTGTGGAATAGGTTGTAAAGCACAGCTGTTGTTGTAGTGAAGTGTAGGATGTTAGCTGTGACATACTGTCAGCGACTGCTTGCACTGATGAGTGACTCATCTGTTGTTGTAGTGAAGTGTAGGATGTTAGCTGTGACATACTGTCAGCGACTGCTTGCACTGTGACTCATCTGTTGTTGTAGTGAAGTGTAGGATGTTAGCTGTGACATACTGTCAGCGACTGCTTGCACTGTGACTCATCTGTTGTTGTAGTGAAGTGTAGGAAGTTAGCTGTGACATACTGTCAGCGACTGCTTGCACTGGGACTCATCTGTTGTTGTAGTGAAGTGTAGGATGTTAGCTGTGACATACTGTCAGCGACTGCTTGCACTGGGACTCATCTGTTGTTGTAGTGAAGTGTAGGATGTTAGCTGTGACATACTGTCAGCGACTGCTTGCACTGTGACTCATCTGTTGTTGTAGTGAAGTGTAGGAAGTTAGCTGTGACATACTGTCAGCGACTGCTTGCACTGGGACTCATCTGTTCAGTTACACATATTTGAGATGGTTCAGCTGCAATGATGTAAATACTCGATATGTTATCTCCCTTTACTGATCCACTGCTTCAGTGTACTCCGAGATGAGGTTCCTGCAGGAGGAACTAAGACATAAGGACATCAGAGAAACATGAAAGTGATATGTCTCTGTTTTATTACAGTTGATGAACTCGAACATGAAAATGGCCACTGCCATGGGCACAACCACTAAGGTAAGTCGTAGCTGATTCCCACTTCCAGTGAAAATCTCAAACACTGGCCGGTTTTAAGTTGATCGTCACAGTAAGTCTGTCATATTCCTCTACTTTATACAGATTTATGGTAATCTATGGTATTTTCAAACAATATTTTACTTTGACATGTATCAAAACATGTTTCCAACTGAATATGGCAAAGAATATTCTGGAGAAGCAGTGTTTGGTGTTGAGTTGTTACCGAGGTTATGTGATGTTGTAGACGATGACGCAGATGAACAAGGTGATGGATCCGCAGAAGACCATGAAGGTGATGCAGGAGTTTGAGAAGGAGTCGACCAAGATGGAGATGTCAGAAGAAATGAGTGAGTTCAGTATTTTCTGCTGCTGTGGGCGGCAGTTTGAAACAAGATGGCTTCATTTGTCTCAGAAGAAAGAGATCAGCAAAAAATTGATGGACACTTTCCTGAATAGGCAACTTGCCATGGTTCAGATTGTTGTGTTTGTAGATCCCAGGTGTCTAATGATTGTAACCTTTGTCAAGGTCATACACAAGGGTGAAGGCCACATTTAAACCAGCCCTGTCTGCCGCACATAGTGGACATGTGGTGATGTAGCCGAGACAGTTCTGGGTGGCATTAATCGAAACTCAAGTCAACATTTTGCAGACTTGCCATGATATTCCGAAAAAGGTTCACATTAGTATCAGTGTAAACTCAGAACTGTCATGTATACAAACAAACTAGGGTGTTTCCGTTATGAGTGGAAATATTTACTGTTGTAGACAATGTTCAGTTGTTGCTGGGGTTGTATCCGGGAATTACACAGCTATTGTTTCTGTGTGTTGCAGTCAGTGATACTCTGGACGACATCCTTGACGAGTCAGGTGACGAGGAGGAGGGTGACGCCATCGTTAACCAGGTGCTCGATGAGATTGGCATTGAGATCTCCGGCAAGGTGAGGGTTTTCTCCATCTTTCTAGTGTCAACATTGAACTACGTCTCCTGATAACTTTCTTAGAATATGAACAGGTATATAAACATATATACAGTCGACGTAACGTATGGTGAGCCATGCCATCTTTCCGAGACATATATACTCCCAGCACACCACACTTCATAGAGCTGACTCAGATCGGCAGAATTTGTGCTGATACCAGCAAGTACTGTGTCTGACCATTCCAGTCAAGTATACTCCAAGTGTATCTGATATGTGCAGTCCATGTCAGATTTTCTTAACTGAATTGCCATGTGACTTTCTAAAAAAAGTATAGTGTGGGAACCCTAAAATATATTACCAAGGGTCAGCAGTACTTACATGAATATCCCCATGGTCACCAGTACTTACAGGTATATCGTCATGGTCACCAGTACTTACAGGTATATCGTCATGGTCACCAGTACTTACAGGTATATCGTCATGGTCACCAGTACTTACAGGTATATCCCCATGGTCACCAGTACTTACAGGTATATCGTCATGGTCACCAGTACTTACAGGTATATCGTCATGGTCACCAGTACTTACAGGTATATCCCCATGGTCACCAGTACTTATAGGTATATCGTCATGGTTACCAGTACTTACAGGAATATCCCCATGGTCACCAGTACTTACAGGTATATCGTCATGGTTACCAGTACTTACAGGAATATCCCCATGGTATCCAGTTATCCCCCATGGTCCATATAGCTGGAGTATTGTCGAGTGCAGTGTTAGCTGTCGAACTGACAAAACTGTAGCCAGAGATGAGTGAGGGGTGGAGTGACACATATAATGTGCGTGTTCCAGATGGTGAATGCCCCCTCAGCACATGGTGGAGCACTAGGAGAGTCTTCGAAGAGAAATGCAGCCGATGATGAGATCGAGAAGCAGCTGGCAGCTCTCAGGGACTTGTAGTTGGACTTAATTGTATCATGCACAGTGTCTTGTGTCCTCACTGCAAGCAGAGGTACTAGGGGAGACAACTCTGTTTCCTTCTTTTCATCACAGAGGTCAGCACAAGAAGCAGGGAAGACAGCATTATCCTGATGTATTTTGTTATGAAATCTTCACATGGATGAAAGTTAAATTGATAACTGCCTGAACATTGTGTATTATTTAAATTATTTGGGTTTGGGAGTTAAGACAGGATAACATTAAGTGAAACCTGGCAGCCGCTGCACAGCAAGACACATCCGAGTGGATGGCGTCACAACCTATGGTCATTTACATCTGTACGAAACACAAGTTTATTCCAAATGAACATTTTTATACTGTCAAGACCTGTCCCCACTTCCGAGGATAGTTACAACTTGGTGCATCCCACGTCTCCTGTGTTGACTCCTGGCATGGATGCCTCTGTTACCATGGTTACTCGTCATCCATCAGCCTCCATGGTCCTCATCACTGTATCATTTCATCAGAACATTGTGTTGATCATGGTGATTTTCATGTACATGAAAGATGATGTGGTGTTGACAAAAGCCTGTGATTTATATTTTATGTTTGTTGTTCAATATATCAGCGTTAACTGTTCAGTTGAATGATTCAAAGGCATTATGATATCTGTGTACTATTGCATATATTGGCCGTATTGTGAAACAGTTCTTCATGAATCGCTATCACGAGGTTGTGCATGGTACTTACTGTATAGCACAGGTATTGTGAGGGAGTTCCTTATGTGTCACAAGGCTGTATATGGCACTTACTGTTTGTATAGTAACACAGTATGGCAGGTGTATTGTGAAGTTCTGCACACCTCAGATGTACTTGAACGGGACGCAGCAGGAACTTGTGTCAGACTCGTCATGAAGTGACTGAATCCATTGTCAGTGCAAACCCGCCTACTCCACTGATTATTTATCAGATTAAATTGTTTATCATCATCATCATATTGTTTATCTTTGTAGGTAGTTGGTTTAGCTTTAGTTCTAAAATTGGGTTTCTCAAATATGTTTGATGGGAGCTGACAGGTTTAAGAGACAAATTCCATGTTTATAGTTCGTTTTATTGGTCAGCTTGCTGGAAGTCAGACATGCCTAGTCACTCTAGTACTGGAAGATCTCTGCTGATGACATCAGTATTGCATTGTTATTATTCCCATTAATTACCTCCCTTGGTATGTATTGTACACCCTGTGCTATAGTTTTCTTCCCCGTGTCTAAATCTTAGTCAGGTGAAACTCTGAAACCATTGACTAAGGCTCTATCTCAATCTCCTGAACATATGCTGCCTTCGGATACTCAGCGGCTGGGATCAGTAGTTCATCCATTAATACAAAACACACACTGGTATATACATCGAGGGGTACAGTTAAATCAGGCTCTCAAAGCCACTGTTTTATCAGCTTGGAACAATTCCAGTAAATGTTTTAGTTGTTTGATGATGTTAGGAATGAGATATTTATTGTCTGTCACATATAATTCCTGCCCTATGCATGAGGTTGATATGACATCTAGAGGATATTGTTACTGTATTTACCTACACTGTGTGTAGATCAACAGTTGTTAAATAATGTATGCCAGGGGGTTAAATAAACACACGAATAAACAGTTGTTTACTTGAGCAGAATTGATAGATTATTTAATCAACAGTTCGATGCAATATTTATGTGTGTATATATGTGTAAATGTGTACATTTTGCCTCTTACCTATTACAAGAAAATAAATAACTTTCAATTTTATTTTGTCTGTTGCTGTGTCAGAGAGAACCATGAGAGTCAGAGATATAGAATCTGACACTTCTTGAAATTACAAATATCAAAATATAACTTTGCACTGCCCCTCTCCAAAAAATATGGAAGGTGATCCCCAAAATTTGAAAACAAATCATTCAAATGTGTTAAAGTTATTGGTTGAACTGATATTCCCTTCTGTTTTTTAAGTTCAAAATATGCAAACTGATGCAACTTTCAAAAATTAGAAAACTTTACACAGCACGTCTTCTTCAGACAAAGAAGCTATTTTCCAAAAATGAAAACATTTCTGCCTACTTCTGTGTAAGTCATTGGTTGAAGAAACATGTATCAGTTCAAATTCTTAAATTGCTGCTGTAATTCTTTAAAAAACAACCCCTAAAACATCATTATCAAAACTTGCACTGCACCTCTCCTTCAGACTAAGATGGTGGTCCCCAAAAAGAAAAGAATCCAACCCATAGTTTTTAGGTTGGGGGGTTCATAAAATTCTGTGTATAATACGGAAAAATTACATATGAGAAAGCTTCGACCATACCAAGTCCACCCTTGGTTTACATGCAAGAACTCTCTTAATCTTATCTGGTTTCCCACCCCAGAGAAACTTAAACAACAATCTGTTCAATTCTTTTAGGAAATGACCTTGGGGTGAGTGAGTGCTTTTGCTTCGCTTTTAGCAATATTCCAGCAATTTCACGGCGGGGAACATCAGAAATGGGCTTCATACATTGTACCCATGTGGGGAATCGAACCTGGGTCTTCTGCGTGACAAGCGGACACTTGAACCACTGTGCTACACCACCATCCCAAAATGACCTTGGAGATATGACCATCAGATATAGTAGTTCAATTCTCAAATTAGCAAACCTTTATTTCTGCCAGAATTGTAATGGTCAAAATGTTTGAGTGAAATATCCAATTCTATGATGCTTTGACGGTCAATATACTAGGACATAATATTTCCACACACACTATCATCCCAAGAACTTTACAGAAATGGACAGCAGTTCGGCCTTTACAAAAAACACAACACTACTGTGATTTCCAGTTTTAATATAAAAAATCATTGCAGAGGTCAACCAAATATTGGTAAAACCGATTGGGCCCCAAATAACTCCCTCACTAGTGCCACTTACAGTTTTCGACCCATGTAAGAGCATAAAGCTGACCATGAAATCTGTCACACCAACACTGATACTGACTCGGGGGTCGGTGTTACAGCTTCCTGCCTGACAGCATCAGTCAGTTTCTACTGTCAGGGCCTAGAGGTCACAAGATAGATAAATGCATGATGATTATTACTATACTGTACAAGTTACAACTATAGTATCTGATGTACTGACACAAAACAATGTCACTCTAATGTAACCATCTTCTCACGGACTACATTGTGGAGAGATGCAGTACTTCTGCGGTATGTCCACCAATGATAACCAGATGACACACACCAGATGGGCTGACTGCCCTACAGGGAAACTCACATTGTGGTCATTGTTTTTGAAATCTCTTATTCCAAAATATAATTCTCTCCTCTTTTGCTGGCAATCGAGCATGATTCATGGGAGATGCCAAGATTTAAACCGAATTATTCCACTGCCCCTTTGGCACTAGTGGTGTATGTGACATGGGAAACAGCAACTAATCCTGCCAGATTTCCACCACTCTCGAGTCTAATCAGGTTAAGACTGGTTTGTACACACTACATCCATGTATGAAATGAACCAGTGTTGAGTGTGACCTGCAAACATTGTGACCACCAGGCTACCCACCGTCCCCACCCCACCGTTCCTCCCCACCCCTCCCATATATGTACACACAGTTACATGATAAGGCAGGTGCCTGCCTACATGTACTTCCTGTCCGCTGCACATCGGTACAAGCTTGTAAATACCAATGAGCCCTTATTGGATTGTTCACACAACGCCATTTCCACAATACCCAGAACCTCAGCACAACCTGTATCATTCATGACCACAACCTTATTTTCACCTTTGTTTTCCCGAGAGGAGCAATAGTTCAGGTACAGTGCCAGTCACAATTAGATTAATTCAAGCAATCTTCTTTCTATGCTTACTCAATGATTATCATTAGTAATCATTTCACCTAATTACACAGAGACAATGTGTTGCCCAAGACACTAACTCCATCTCATCTAGACATGGGCTCCACTCCATGAATCGCACTTCTTAATGTCACAATGGAAAACTTGACTCACATCCTCACACCAACTTTCTGTCCTGTCTCCAGTGAAACCGCTTGAGTTACTCGACGTGTGGAGGACTCTTGTGAATGTCTTTAGTCCCGCGGTATCAGCCCTAGTTCCTGCAGACACACGCTGGCAGCTTGGGCTTTGGCCAGCTTCTTGTTGGCACTTACTGCTGATGACTGGTACTCCGCGCCGTTCACAATAACCTGCAACAGGAGAACAGTAACATCAAAAGGTTGAATAACCGCCAGAAATAGGGAAATAATTGATTGAAGAAGTGGAAGGATTGCCTGAAATAGGGCACAAGCTTGAAGAAGTAGAAGAATTGGGAGAAACAGGGGAAATAGCTTGAAGCAAAAGAAGGATTGCCTGATACAGGGGAACAATAGCTTGAAGCAGCAGCAGGATTGCTTGATACAGGGGAACAATAGCTTGAAGCAGCAGAAGGATTGCCTGATACAGGGGAAATAGCTTGAAGCAGCAGAAGGATTGCCTGATACAGGGGAACAATAACTTGAAGCAGCAGCAGGATTGCTTGATACAGGGGAACAATAGCTTGAAGCAGCAGAAGGATTGCCTGATACAGGGGAAATAGCTTGAAGCAGCAGAAGGATTGCCTGATACAGGGGAACAATAGCTTGAAGCAGTGAAAGGATTGCCTGATACAGGGGAACAATAGCTTGAAGCAGCAGAAGGATTGCCTGATACAGGGGAAATAGCTTGAAGCAGCAGAAGGATTGCCTGATACAGGGGAACAATAGCTTGAAGCAGTGAAAGGATTCCCAAAAATCAGGGGCACAGCAGCTTTCTGAACACCATCCACGCTCTGAACACTACCCACTATCTGAACACTACCCACTATCTGAAGAACTCCTTGCTTCCTGCTAGAAATCATGTAGTGATCAACATGTTATCAACCCATGTCCTATACCCATCTTATTTCCCTTCCAACACTGCCAAAAGACCTATCCAGATGACTGTACATTAATGTTATACTCGTCTACCTTGAAGAGGAAGCTTTTCTTGTGATCTGGACCAGATTCTTGCACAATCACAAAGTTTGGCGGTCCCCATCTTCTCTTGTTGCAGAGTTCAGTGAGGGCTGAGACGGGGGTGTTTACCTGAACCATTATGCAAGAAGAATCATAAAACCAAAATCTGTTAATTCAGGAAAAAGAATATTGACTTTTGAATTCCTTACTTTCTGTGATTGTTCACTGTGATCAGTTTCATGGAAGATGTCATCAATTCTTCCAATTACACGAGGTCATATTTAAAAATAAGTATAAACAAATCAAATATTAAGCATAAAGTTGAACATTTTAATATAAATTGTATATTTATATACTTATCCTATCTCACGACTTGCACCTCTCTCTCTTGCTTCGACTTTTAGTGGAACGACTGGAAACTTTTTTCCATAGGCCTCCATTCGCCCGTGCACTCCATGCTGCTCTCCTTAATAAGCTTCCTAGTTCCTAATAAAGCTTGCAGCATGCTCCACTAATTGCCCACATGACTACCTTGAATGATCATTCTCATCTTGGAGCCAACGTTGTAATCTGAGTAGTGGGGAGGCCGAGCGGGCATCCATCGCGTGAGATAGGATAAGTATATAAACATACAATTTATATTAAAATTTTCAAATCTCACGACTTGCACTTATCCCACATTTGGGCGGCAGGCCACAGATTACCCTTCTGTCTCGACAGTGCGAGCAGCTGGTCTTGGAGCTGTGTGGACTGATGAGAACCGTAGATAGCGATGTACAAGAGAGGCCTGTTACGCATGCACGCAACTCCTATGCTTGTAGTGGGTTCTCCAGAACTCCTTGGCTTACTATCCAACAATCCAAACGAGTACCTGAGCTGTCTCAACTGCTGCAAAGCTACCCCCAGGGGTAGATAACTCAGAGTGAGCGGGAGATGCAGGCATGACTATTTGGACTGGATCAATCTCAGGAGGAGAACCAGATGAAGAGCCAGGTGCTACCGAAGTCGGATTGGCTGGAGTAGAAGGCTGTATTTGGTTCCAGGCTGAGGTTATGGCCCTGATAATAGTATTAAGATCCGGAGTCGCTGTAGGAGTGGGATTGTTCAATGAACTGTGGGGGACAGTTGGCTAGTTGAACGCGGTTGGCCAGGCTCCAAACAAACTGAGACAGTCGAGGGGATATGTACCGATGATCTGGAAGATGATAGTGTCGATCTAAGGTTGATGGGACAGGCAAGGATGGATTATCGATCACAACCACCCACGAGTGATCTGACGTTATAGAAGGAGGTGATTGATGCGCACGTAATAGGTGCCGAACGTCCTCAGATAAGTAAGAATCTGATGAAGCCTCCATAAAATCCTCTTGAACCACAGACGTCCCTCTCTTGCGTGACGGTACGATTTTCTGTCGCTGTAGCTTGATACGCTTGGCGGGAGTGGGATCAGATTCTGTTGATTTCCTGTCCCTATCGGCGATTCTCAGGGAGCAAACATGAAGGTAGGCCTTAAAATCCTCATCTTTTAGTGAATTACACTTGCCACATCATTTGTTCCAGTTACATTGTCCAATACAGTCACTGCAAGACGAGTGAGTGTCGAGGGACAAATAATTTGTCTTGCATTGAGCACAAACTTTCCTTTTCCTTGACTGATTATCTGTTTTCCCCATGATGTTAGGGTGAAATAATGTCCCTAATATACAGCACGTCCACACAGTCGTGCGACAAGAAAGAGAATGATCATTCAAGGTAGTCACGTGGGCAATTAGTGGAGCATGCTGCCAGCTTCATTAGGAACTAGGAAGCTAATTAAAGAGAGCAGCATGGAGTGCACGGGCGAATGGACAAGGAGGCCTATGGAAAAAAGTTTCCAGTCGTTCCACTAAAAGTCGAAGCAAGAGAGAGAGGTGCAAGTCGAGAGATAGGATAAGTTTAAAAATTGAAGGTACAGTTTCCATTGGTAGAAGGTGGCTTCGTGATTCTTGCCACTCACCCGACAGGTCCTTCTTCACACGGGCCACTGCCCCTCCCTTTCGTGTGTTCTCTCCCTCAGATATCAGACCTGTCAACAACAATAACTGGTCAAAACCAACACACACAGGATACAAAAGACATCAAACACCAAGTAATCTTGATATTCATCCGCCACTCATGAACTGAGCAAGAGCCCTGGCCTGCCTAAACAACTCTGAATCATGAATGACAGCACAGATGCTAAAGTTTAATCATTCCAATAGATAAGTTGCTGAGAGTCATAGGCTCAACACAGTCACCAGTGAGGTGAGGAATTTACAAAGATGCAACTTTGGCCTCTAGCCTGCATCAATGTATTATTTCAAAACTTGCAGGACAGGTCCTTTGTGTTGGACTGAAATAGTTACAGACAGTCAGTAGAATTGCTGGAGGATAAGCTCCAGTTTCCAGGAGTCCTACCTTTTCTATCCACCTTGAAGTCTAGCATCAGGGGCTCCTTGGAGCCCTCGTTGTTCTTGCCGAGCCCTTCCCCTGGCCTCCAGCCCATCTTCTCCAGCAGCCATTTCCCAATACCCCCTTGTACAGGTGCTGCCTTCTTCAGCTGGTCCTGACAATACCAAGCAAAGGGAGGTAAGCCACTGTAAGCCCTGAGTACAGACCACCTTCAACTACAGCATCTGCCCTACAAGCAACACAACCACTGTGCCTCTAAATGTAGGATCGTAATGTGGGACAGTGCTTTGAATGCTTGATTGACTTTGATTTTCTAGCTATAAGAACGACATTGTCTTTCTATAGCTTGGAAAATGTCCCATGTTATTTTGAAATATGTGCAAGGTATGTGATACCTGCCTTATCATAGTTGCTTTCATTAAAGAATTTGCAAGGCATCAATCTTCTCGATGATTTCCATTGAAGCAAACATTCATAGCTCTAAAAACATAAATGCACATAGAGAGGCAACCTTTCACCATAATGTATATGAGCTTTAACCCTTTTGTCAAACACACAGACAAGAAAATTGTCTCTGTACAATAAACTCACTCACTTGCTCAATCACTCAATCACACACTCACAATATTTACTGAAGCACTGATGTAACACGATACAAAACACAACTATCATGCTGATACTATACTTTCTTTACTGACAGCTAACAATATCTCCATACCACATCGTAAACATTGACAAGCATGTGTATGTATCTCAACAAGCTTGTCCTGCTAAAAGTAACATTAACACAGAATGCTTATACAAGCTATTGAAACAATTTTCTAAAGCAAACTGGCAACTGAAAATGTCAGTATGTCATTTCAGTCCAACTCTGCACAAACTAGAAATATCCCTGTCATGGTAAGCAGTATTTCAGCTAGGTTACCAGCATGTCAACCTGTCTTGGACAAGCAAACCAGTGGCTGACAGTATGAGCATCAAGTCTTGCCGTCGGGTCAGCTGGGTCATGGCTGACCTATATGAGTTCTATCGATCTCTGTTAGAAACAATATCCACAAATGGGTGCTGGGCAATATTCAGCCTCAAAGACAAGCATAATTTACCCAGAAATTAATTCAAATCAGATATACATACAATTAAAATAATATTTCTATCAAGATCAATAATAGTGTTATTCATACACACATCAAAAATGTCAATGTCAGCAGACAATATCAACAGCCAATCACAAAGGAACACAGAGTGTTGAGCAGGTAGATTCCAACACAACAATAGGCACTGGGTTTGAAGGAACCTCCTACTCGAAATGGCAGTCTTGACAATCAGTCACTGAAATGAAAGGATTGTTGTTCCTTCTCACAGCACTAACACCCAGTTCCAAGCAAGCACTATAACATTATACTCTGTCGTCTACAGATCTTATATTACAGAGTGAAACCATGGGCTATCATGAGTCAGAAACCTCTAATATCAGTCCTAGGACTAACAGCAGGGGTTTATCTAGAGCTGCTCAGAGGCCCAGTGACAAATTTCCCTGTCAGTTATAATACAGTCACTAATGTGATCAAATGTGATCAAATGTGATCAAATGGTGAGGTCTGATAACTGAACCAAGAAAGAAGGAAGAGGCTCAACTGAAATTAAGAAAATAAGGACTTTCAACAATACTGGAATTTTGAAAATATCCATGAACTTCTCTGCTTCACGCGCAGACAGCCAGAAACAATACCCAGGCCATTAATCAGACATCTACATCTAAGAGTCCCACTGTCTATCTTTTAATGGCTAGTTGCAACTCACTACCTTAATAAACACTAAACTGACATACAAAGAGCACACGTGCAGGTAATGCTCATCATAAATTGAAAGTGCCGTAAGTTAATGTGGTAAGGATAAATAGTCATTTTTCGAAATGATGGAACAAGCCTCTATTAGAGACAAGACCCACTGATACTTCAAGTTCAGCATCAAATAGAGAAAACATGCTTATCACAATGTGCCTGCAACTAAGTTTGATATTCTAGATAAACCCCTGCTAATAAGTATATTAATCACTCCAAAAGAAAAATCTACTGTCCAGAAATATGATGCTATAATCTGTGAATTCTCAAAATTGCACTGGTTACAATCTTCTCAAATATTAACTGTCCAATCCTTACTGTTCTGTGACAGTCAAACAGCGGGGATCACCCCTGTATACTTTGAAGGTAACTGGGTGTTATGTGCAGTGAGTACTTACCACCAGCTAGAGTCCTGTACCATCTTGTGCTGTATCTCAGCACTAGAATCAACGTCAACCTACACGCCTGTGTTTTGTCAAACCAGAACCCTGCAACAAGCTTCCAGCTGGTCATACCAAACCGAGTTGTCTCCCCTGAACTAAACTTTGCTTGTTCTTGTCAAAGCCAGTTTGTGTTACTACCATGAAAGAGAGTCAAAATCTTATCTTATTTCAGGAAGGAAGATGAGCATAACCGTTTCACTGAGGAAAACATTATGTGATCAGTGACTCCTATCTGTTAGAGGAATGCCTGGGAATAAAGTTTATACATGAACAATAGCTGGGACTTTCAATTTTCCAGTAGTTTTTTAGCCTGGAAATTTTTTGCAATAACTGACAATGAACAAGAAACACAGAATTACAAGTTTGAAAGTTTTCTAATGTATGCAAATTCATGTGGACAAGTACAGAACAAGATTGTTCCCCCAAGCAAATGCAAGTGTGTAAAGCAATCATCCTAGTGGTACACCATCTCTTTGGCCAAGGACAGTTTTTAACCTTGATTGTTTGCCTACTGGCATTCTTCAATGCCTATTATATTTTAGTTGACTTTTTCTGTTAAACTATCCTCCTGTCCAAACTTAAGACTGTGCAGTGTTTCAGGGGAGACAATTCTCAGCAGGCTGAATGTCGTGGTGTTGGTAGCGGTGCACCAGTATTCAGTGGTATTACAACTGTCCCTGGATTCTTGTCACAAGATTCTCAGCAAGGGGATCTGTGTGGATGCAGTGAATATCAACAGCCAGACTCATCAAATAAACCAAACAGATTGACAAAGTAATATCTGATCTTGAATCAAACATAGTTTCAGGGAGTCTAATTACAGTTACAAATCAAAAGTTCATGTTGATAGTTTGGACACTGCCTCCATACAGACAACAAAGGATATAATGACTTCCAGGAAGTTGTCTGAATCACCTGTTAAACCAGACCTCCCACCATCACAAACATAATCTACTTATAACCAACAGCCACATTTTCAGAAAAGATAAGTGTTCAAGCACAGATCGAAAGGAGTTCACAGTTTCTGAAATAATTCTGAACGTGTTAGGTAGAGTTACCGGGATCCATCTACAAGACTAATGACAACAGTTGACGTACAGAGCGTACATAACACTGCATAAAACTGGTTAATTTCTCTTGCTACAAGCAATATATACACAGAAAATCAGCCACCTTTAAGTAAGTGGTATCTTTAACAGCTGTTCAAGCATCAATAGCAGTATTTTACGAGAACTTTGTTTCATGTTGAACCCTCTACCATTCATTTTGAACACCCTCTGACACATGAGTTTCCAGCCCATCTACCAATCTAGAATGTAACCACTAACAATTCCAGGGAGATAACTACAGTATGGCAGAATGTAACCAGGGAGATAACAACAGTATGACAGAATGTAACCACTAACAGTTCCAGGGAGATAACGACAGTATGACAGAATGTAACCACTAACAGTTCCAGGGAGATAACGACAGTATGGCAGAATGTAACCACTAACAGTTCCAGGGAGATAACGACAGTATGACAGAATGTAACCACTAACAGTTCCAGGGAGATAACTACAGTATGGCAGAATGTAACCAGGGAGATAACTACAGTATGGCAGAATGTAACCACTAACAGTTCCAGGGAGATAACGACAGTATGGCAGAATGTAACCACTAACAGTTCCAGGGAGATAACGACAGTATGGCAGAATGTAACCACTAACAGTTCCAGGGAGATAACTACAGTATGGCAGAATGTAACCACTAACAGTTCCAGGGAGATAACGACAGTATGGCAGAATGTAACCACTAACAGTTCCAGGGAGATAACTACAGTATGGCAGAATGTAACCACTAACAGTTCCAGGGAGATAACGACAGTATGGCAGAATGTAACCACTAACAGTTCCAGGGAGATAACGACAGTATGGCAGAATGTAACCACTAACAGTTCCAGGGAGATAACAACAGGGCAGAATGTAACCACTAACAGTTCCAGGAGATAACGACAGTATGGCACCAACCACTAACAGTTCCAGGGAGATAACGACAGTATGGCAGAATGTAACCACTAACAGTTCCAGGGAGATAACGACAGTATGACAGAATGTAACCACTAACAGTTCCAGGATGTAACCACTAACAGTTCCAGGAGATAACTGTATGGCAGAATGTAACCACTAACAGTTCCAGGGAGATAACAGTATGACAGAATGTAACCACTAACAGTTCCAGGAGATAACTGGCAGTATGGCAGAATGTAACCACTAACAGTTCCAGGGAGATAACGACAGTATGGCAGAATGTAACCACTAACAGTTCCAGGAGATAACGACAGTATGACAGAATGTAACCACTAACAGTTCCAGGGAGATAACTACAGTATGGCAGAATGTAACCACTAACAGTTCCAGGAGATAACGACAGTATGGCAGAATGTAACCACTAACAGTTCCAGGGAGATAACGACAGTATGACAGAATGTAACCACTAACAGTTCCAGGAGATAACGACAGTATGACAGAATGTAACCACTAACAGTTCCAGGAGATAACCACAGTATGACAGAATGTAACCACTAACAGTTCCAGGAGATAACGACAGTATGGCAGAATGTAACCACTAACAGTTCCAGGGAGATAACAGTTCAGTGTATGGAGATAACGACAGTATGGCAGAATGTAACCACTAACAGTTCCAGGAGATAACGACAGAATGTAACCACTAACAGTTCCAGGGAGATAACGACAGTATGGCAGAATGTAACCACTTACAGTTCCAGGGAGATAACTACAGTATGGCAGAATGTAACCACTAACAGTTCCAGGGAGATAACTACAGTATGGCAGAATGTAACCACTAACAGTTCCAGGGAGATAACGACAGTATGACAGAATGTAACCACTAACAGTTCCAGGGAGATAACTACAGTATGGCAGAATGTAACCACTAACAGTTCCAGGGAGATAACGACAGTATGACAGAATGTAACCACTAACAGTTCCAGGGAGATAACTACAGTATGGCAGAATGTAACCACTAACAGTTCCAGGGAGATAACAACAGTATGACAGGCAAATGTAACCACTAACAGTTCCAGGAGATAACAGGGACAGTATGACAGAATGTAACCACTAACAGTTCCAGGAGATAACTACAGTATGGCAGAATGTAACCACTAACAGTTCCAGGGAGATAACGACAGTATGACAGAATGTAACCACTAACAGTTCCAGGGAGATAACGACAGTATGGCAGAATGTAACCACTAACAGTTCCAGGGAGATAACTACAGTATGGCAGAATGTAACCACTAACAGTTCCAGGGAGATAACAACAGTATGACAGAATGTAACCACTAACAGTTCCAGGGAGATAACGACAGTATGACAGAATGTAACCACTAACAGTTCCAGGGAGATAACGACAGTATGACAGAATGTAACCACTAACAGTTCCAGGGAGATAACGACAGTATGACAGAATGTAACCACTAACAGTTCCAGGGAGATAACTACAGTATGGCAGAATGTAACCACTAACAGTTCCAGGGAGATAACAGTTCCAGGAGATAGTATGACAGAATGTAACCACTAACAGTTCCAGGGAGATAACGACAGTATGGCAGAATGTAACCACTAACAGTTCCAGGGAGATAACTACAGTATGGCAGAATGTAACCACTAACAGTTCCAGGGAGATAACGACAGTATGGCAGAATGTAACCACTAACAGTTCCAGGGAGATAACGACAGTATGGCAGAATGTAACCACTAACAGTTCCAGGGAGATAACTACAGTATGGCAGAATGTAACCACTAACAGTTCCAGGGAGATAACAACAGTATGACAGAATGTAACCACTAACAGTTCCAGGGAGATAACGACAGTAACAGTATGATGTAACCACTAACAGTTCCAGGGAGATAACGACAGTATGGCAGAATGTAACCACTTACAGTTCCAGGGAGATAACTACAGTATGGCAGAATGTAACCACTAACAGTTCCAGGGAGAATGTATGGCAGAATGTAACCACTAACAGTTCCAGGGAGATAACGACAGTATGGCAGAATGTAACCACTTACAGTTCCAGGGAGATAACTACAGTATGGCAGAATGTAACCACTTACAGTTCCAGGGAGATAACAACAGTATGGCAGAATGTAACCACTTACAGTTCCAGGGAGATAATGACAGTATGGCAGAATGTAACCACTAACAGTTCCAGGGAGATAACAACAGTATGGCAGAATGTAACCACTTACAGTTCTAGGGAGATAATGACAGTATGGCAGAATGTAACCACTAACAGTTCCAGGGAGATAACTACAGTATGACAGAATGTAACCAGGGAGATAACGACAGTATGACAGAATGTAACCAAGGGAGACAACGACAAGGGAAATAACACCAATATGACAGAATGTAGCCACTCATAGTACAAGGGAGATGACAGAGTGTAATCACAGGGGGATAACTACCATATGACAGAATGTAGCCAATCATAGTCCAAGGGAAGTAACACCAACATGACAGAATGTAGCCAATCACAGTCCAAGGGAAATAACACCAATATGACAGAATGTAGCCAATCATAGTCCAAAGGAAATAACACCAATATGACAGAGTGTAACCAATCATAGTCCAAAGGAAGTAACACCAATATGACAGAATGCAGCCAATCATAGTCCAAGGGAAATAACACCAATATGACAAAATGTAGCCAATCATAGTCCAGGGCAATAACACCAATTTGACAGAATGTAGCCAATCATAGTCCAAGGGAGATGACAGAGTGTAATCAGGGGAGATAACAACAGTATGAAAGAAAGAAGAGAGGAGAATCTGTCAATGATGAAAGGTCTGGAATAACAGTTGATCAAAATGGTTCGGCCAGACCGGTAATACGCCTCTCCCTGTCCCCACTCTGTTAGACTACAGCGAGAGAGGCATGTTACCAGTCTGGTGGGTCGACAATCTCTTCACGTCCTGGATGCACGTCGTACCTGGAATGAGACACTTGGAAGCATTCGCTGACACTGTCTGCAAGTACTGGCTTTGCTCTCTCACATTACCATAGCTAACACTAAGCAAACTAATTTCCTTAACAAACTTCATTTTAACCTAACTTGCATGTTGTCTTTATTCCAGAAAACTACAAACATCTCTCACTGGTGTATCACCAAAATAAACCAATTAAATAGAAATTTGTAGACTTAGCTTTCAGTATTCAAACAAATTTCCTTAAAAGGCAATTTTGTTTATTTTCAACTTTATCAGACATCAATACAACTAACTGTAAGCAGAGATTTGAAGTCCTTCTAGATTATTGTAAGGGTAAGTATTTTGTATGTAATAGCGCAATGTAATCACAATTCAAGTAGCAGGTCAATGGGTCTACTGGATGCCTACAATGATATTCCCAGTTTTCCTAAAGCTAAAACATCCTTCCATAACTAAAGACTTGAAATTCAAACACAAACAACCAAGTTTGCTTAACACAGATAGTATGGAAAGACTAACTTGAGAGGCAGACTCCAGAAGTATGTCATACTGTATGTCTTCTAAAAACCCTGGACCCAACAGACATGTTGGACAGTTTGAGGACATTATACAAAAAGATTTTTGTTGTTTTATACAAACTAACTAACACTACATATACCTGATTGTTTCACCACTATGTAGCTTCAAAATAATACTGATAATATTTGAATGAATGTCATTATTTAGGATACAACAACGTGTAGTTTAATTGATATTAAAGATGAAGATACAGATATATTCAAGCTGAACATTAAATCTAATTCAACTGAGTACAACCCTACATATCATTTCCTAGCTCACATGTTCTCGAGAGATGAGACAAGTTAGAGAGCAAAGTCAGTACCAGGTCCAAATGCCACCACAGATGCATGCTGGGAGGCTGTACCTTCTTAAACCATGCTTGGTTTTTCTTATCTGGTCCTGCCAGCTCCTGCTGAGTGAGAGGCTGAACCCCTGTGCTGCCGGTGAACTGGCCTGGGAGAAACTTGGACTGCGCCCACTGGCTTGACTGAAGTAAGACACACAGAATGCAGGACAATTCAGTCACGGAAATAAATGCTGCTCAATAACAACCGTAACAGTGGCAAATCATTAAGTTTTGTGGTCCATGGTGAATCTAGAGTACAAGAATTCATATACTTTTCCTGACACTGTTCCTTGATGCTTCATTGTAACAGCAGTGTAGTGGTGCGATAGGGTAAATGTTTTACACTGCTTTTACAATGGAATATTGCATACTGTTGTGGAAGAATACGTTGCAACATGCTGAATGATGGTTGAATCATTGTGACAAGGTGGGCAACTCACTGCATTCATTCACATGGGTCAGACAAACTGTAATCATGTTAAATTCGAGCTGGTTATTCTAAACATTACTCATTTAAGTCCATCTCAGAGCTCACTGAAAACAGGCAAATGTTGTTAGTCTTAATAATATTGTTTTGTTTCTGAATCACCTTCTCCTGTGCTTTGTGCATAGAGCAGAGTGCCTGGACATCATATGGGTTTTCTGTGAGCTTCCGCACCAGGGACAGTCTCTCTGACACAATAGCACCGATGTCAATAGGCTGAAATGTAACCATGGAAACATGGGCCTCATTATCCTGTTAATCATGTTGGATGACAGCACTGACACAAGTATCGTTACAGGTAACCTGTGACAAATATCAGATTTGTTACTTGAACACGCACCCACTCCACATGATACTAGAACCATTTAAACGTTTCACACAAAGTACAATGGATGAAGCAATATCACACACAATATCTTGAAGAAATAGCATCATGAGCACCAGTAACCAATCATCCCCTGGTTCCAACAGGTGCTGAGACCAATGTGTACTTTGACTCCTTCAGCAGTACTGATCATGGTTATTTGGCCTTACACTCTAAACATATCTCTACATGAGGCAACTGTATACATCACTAAAACACTGCATGTTCTTAGAGGCGATGGGGAAAGGCAGTGTACACAAACCTTTGAAATATTTTAAATTATGGCAAAATGTAATTTTCTAAGTAAAATTGATATTTTATACTTATCCTGACTCATGATCTTTTGCTTATCTCCCTTTCCCTTTCGAATGGTAGTGGAACACTTGAATCCCTTGAAGTTCCCGAAGCGGACGTATAAATACACTCACCCACGAGTTACCTCCCTTTGCCTTTTCCCGCGCAAACCAGTAATGTATACATTCAGTCTCAATTATAACCACACATTTACTAAATCTTACATTTTGAAAACAAACAGCTGTGAAGTGATCATAAGAGGTTTTTGTCTGCAGTACTGGGCCAGTAAGCAGAATGTTTTAACCTTCGAATGTTAGGTAAAGACTTTTCCCCTCCTTCCCTCACTAAGACATCATTTCTATCTGCAGGTTCAGCCTACCTCTGCCGGGGGGTCGGGGAAGACTTTATCCTGCTGGGCAACAACATTCAGTGGCGCACTCACAGCAGCTGTCTGGGACATTGGTGCAGGAATTGCCACAGTTGTTACTGCTGCTGGTGTTGCTACTGTCGTAACCACAGGTGTTGCAATGGTTGCTGTGACAGGGGCTGTTGTCTTCTCCACCGGCACCCACTGATCCTCCTTGGCGCGGTGCTGGCTGCCGCTGGAGACCGGGAACTGGAGGCGGAGCTGAGCACACTGGGTGGCCTTGGCCTGGGGGGTGAGCACTGGCAGCTGCTTCGAGTTCTGTGGGCAAACGGAAGACCATCATACATTCATGTTGATGACTACAGGACTCTATGTCCAGCGTGCTCACCCATACGTTCATGTTGATGACTACAGGTCTCTATGTCCAGCGTGCTCACCCATACGTTCATGTTGATGACTACAGGACTCTATGTCCAGCGTGCTCACCTATACGTTCATGTTGATGACTACAGGACTCTATGTCCAGCGTGCTCACCCATACGTTCATGTTGATGACTACAGGACTCTATGTCCAGCGTGCTCACCCATACGTTCATGTTGATGACTACAGGACTCTATGTCCAGCGTGCTCACCCATACGTTCATGTTGATGACTACAGGACTCTATGTCCAGCGTGCTCACCCATACGTTCATGTTGATGACTACAGGACTCTATGTCCAGCGTGCTCACCCATATGACTACGCTCTATCATGTTGATGACTACAGGACTCTATGTCCAGCGTGCTCACCCATACGTTCATGTTGATGACTACAGGACTCTATGTCCAGCGTGCTCACCCATACGTTCATGTTGATGACTACAGGACTCTATGTCCAGCGTGCTCACCCATACGTTCATGTTGATGACTACAGGACTCTATGTCCAGCGTGACTCTATGTCCAGCGTGCTCACCCATACGTTCATGTTGATGACTACAGGACTCTATGTCCAGCGTGCTCACCCATACGTTCATGTTGATGACTACAGGACTCTATGTCCAGCGTGCTCACCCATACGTTCATGTTGATGACTACAGGACTCTATGTCCAGCGTGCTCACCCATACGTTCATGTTGATGACTACAGGACTCTATGTCCAGCGCTCACCCATACGTCTCACCTACAGGACTCTATGTCGTGTGCTCACCCATACGTTGATGACTACAGGACTCTATGTCCAGTGTGCTCACCCGTATGTTCATGATGATGTTGGGTAGTGTGGAAGGATCCCTCAGTTTGAAGGGGTGGTTGATGAAGGGGCCCTCTCCCTCCTCTCCGTCAGAGTGGCGGCCATATTCGCTGTCACTGTCACTGTCACTATAGCCTTTCTCAGAAATCTTCTTACAGAAATCTGCAAAGAAACTCTTGTTAAAGTAAAAGGTTGATTCTTCTGTGAATCTGAGAATTTGGTTTAAAGCCGCTTTGAACTGTATCTGAGTTAAGTCTATATGATACACAAGGAGAGAATTTGGATGTCAACAAATTGCATAATGCCTCAACTCAGATCCCTTTTCAGTCAGGATTTCTACAGCCCATTCATAGCGATGACTAACCTGTCAGTTCTTCCACAGACTTGCCTCCAGCCTTCAGAGTGGCCAGATCCACATCCGCTCCCTGCTCTCCAGCCTTCACAGCAGCCAGCACGTTGGCACTGAAACAGAACTGGATATACAACAATCCTCACTTGTCATCCAGTAAAACCTGAGGATTCCAAGTCACGGTCAGTGCATTTTCACATTAAGGTAATCGGGTGTGAAGGCAGGATATTATCAGTCTCAATCAGTCCATGAAACTGAAGGGGCAAACTGTCAAATGATCCTTCTGCTTATCATCATTCAACAAGTTTGATGATGTATCAAGAGTATTCTTCTTGTGGTAGACTTAATCCAAAGGACTCACCTAAACATCTTTCTGAGATTCCTGTGGCACACTTGCTACGAGATACATTTCTATCCTCGACTTCCCTGGTGCATGAGCCCTTCCCCACATCATGTGTAACAATACAGATATCGCTTGGACAAAATACATAAAAATATAACTGACTTCAACTCACATGGCTATTTTCCTGAGCTTGGATTTGTCTATTTTCACACGTAAATCTTTTTCCCGATCAGCATCCTTTATTCGTTCTCTCTCTCCTCCTCCTCTCTCCCTATCACGATGTCGGTACTCCCTGTCATGATGTCGCTCATCGCGGTCTCTCCGGCGGGATTTCTCATGTGACCTTGACCTATCCCGTGACCTTGATCGGCTTTTTGACCTCCGATGATGTCTGTCTGATCTAGGATGTCCGAGGCCTCCATAGCTTCTGGTTTCCCACTCATCAGTTCTGAAAACAGCTACACCATGAAAAGATTTTCTGAGGAACCTGTTACCATAGACAGATTTTTTATCCTTTTACATATACCCCGGTACTCATCCTGACACATACTATTTACTTCTCTCTACCTTAACCTGAGATACAGTGGAAACAAGACCAGTAAACATCTCACCCAAATACATACTACTATAAATACTGAATCATCATTGAATGGAGATTAAACAGCCTTATGGTAACCACAACTGTCACAGTGCTCTTTAATTGCTTATTCCTGAAAGCTTACATATCTCTTCATGAAACCACTTAACTACCATGCTACATCACAAATTCTACAGTACAAATTATCACTCCAGATACTATCAAAATATCACACACATATCAGCATGGGAAGAGGCTAAACCAGCTGCTCCAAACCTTGACTCTTTGAAATCTTACATGTTTTAGTCACTAATTATGTCGATACATCCCCACTGAACACAAGCCAGGCTTTATACACAAAACTGTCGAGGAGTCAAGCCTACCTGTCTCTGTGTCGCTCTTTACTTCTCGTACGAGACCGTGTCCGTCTTCTCTTGGGTGACTTAGACCTGAATATAATACAAACATAGGGTCAGGGCAGATTTAATAAACTAGCAGAAGCATGGTATACATATACATATGATAAGTACAGTACATTGCTTAATGCTGTGATGTTACATTTGTAATATAATACATTAATCTCCCATACAAATCTGTTGAACAAAAAATGGTTAATTATGAATGTAGGTGCGTACATATTTTTAGCCACAAGCCAGTAAACTACCAGGCGGGAATAAATTAGGTACAATGGGTGGGAATTCAAAACTGCTACTCTGCCAAGCGGGCGAACGGCAGCCGCCAACTACAACTCCACGTGCAGTGCAATTAAGGGGGAATAACTCCTGTCTATCGCCAATACAGATCAAGGGAGGCGATTCCTGTCACCTTACGTCAAAATACATTTTATACCAAAATAAGACAATAAATCCCCACAAACTAATCTATTTTGAGCTGCTTGCATTCAAATATGCATTAAAAATTTGGAAAACACACAATTGCACTCTGTTGAATATATTTTAGCACATGTAATGTAAAGTGAATTGGTGACAGCAAACAGTCGATGCTACATTAAACATGGGATGAACTAACCAGCAGTCATTACTTTTTATGCCTTGTTTATTTCTGTACACATTATCATCAAACAATATACTGACATTTTCAAACATACAGATGTTACCTCTGTAAGTAATTCTAGAAAAATGTAGTTTCATATGACGAGGCTTGTTAGACATATATGTTAGATCTATCCTCCTCACCACCTTGATCCTACTCCAGGACTATTCCACTTCATCAGTAGGTAATTTATTGTTTCAACAAGGTAGTGACTTAGGCACAAAGTGATAGCGACAAGTAGTTTTGGAAGATGAGCGAGACGGAAGCACATTTGACTAAGGTTCACTCACTGGCTTAAACACAGAGAAGACTGGGCCCAATGAAATAGAGATATAGTGAATAGCCACACCATCAATACCCAGAGTGAATAACTCAGTGCTTCAACAAGCATCTGTGTCCCTGGTCATGTGGCATAATCAACAGGTCCACATCAGCAATTACTGAATCATTTTATAAACACTGCAGCGACATGCTCCCTTGTTTCAAAAGCAGTGATGTCACGGTTATATTTAGACTCAGTGATTCACATCTATGCACCTTTATTCATAGACACCTACTCAAACTCCCCACTTCCACATCTATGTAAAGCTCCTAAAACTCCTCTGATGCAGAGAATAGTACAGAAAGACCTACCTATTGTATTTATTGCTAATATCACTGCTCTTTCATTATACTGCCTCTCAGTTTGTACTGTCATAGTGATACCTTTGTATTGATTCATATTGATTTGTGAACTTAGTTAATCTTAGATATATTGGTAATTACATTACATTTCTACATTATGTGTTGGTTTCCCATCTAGTACTAATACAGACTGATCCCCTTTCTAGTTCCAACATGGGAATCAACACATAACACAGGTCACAGCAAATTCTGGCATTCCCAGTTCAAGTTGTCATATCATTAACACTAACATGTCTAAGGTTTTAGTTTACAAACTGTAGGTTACAAATGTCAGTTGTTACTGGACTAAAGAAAGAGAAAATGTTTATAACACTTCTAACACTTTGTTTTGCACTATTGCACTGACTCCAAGATAACTTTAAATGAAGTATAACAAAAGAATAACTTTATGAAACACTGAGAAAGTTGTTCCTCAACCTTCTTGTCATGGACATTTTGTTGACAATGCTCAATAAATATTTGTTGACTCTAACGATCAGGGCACCTGTCCCTGACGACAGGTAATGTATAGAACTTCATGTCACCTTGATCGAGAATGTCTCCGCTTCTCAGAATTCTTTGACTTGTGGTCCTTCTTGTCCTCTTTCTTCCTCTCCTTCTTTTCTTCTTTTTTCTTCCCTTCTTCAGACTTTTCCTTTTTCGAGTCCTTCTTCCCTTCCTTCCTGTCATCTTTAAAGCTTTTCTCTTTGGAAGTTTTTTCGTTCACCCTTCCCGCTTTTGTGCTTCTTCTTCTTTTTATGTTTATGTTTGTGTTTTTTCTTCTTCTTTGATTTGCTCTTTCCTTCCTTGTCTGAGTGGGAGAGTGACCCAGTTTCTACCAGACCATCCTCCACTACTTCACTGTCCTCCGATTCCTCATCACTTTCGTCACTGGATGAAGACAGAACCTCACCTAGGAGCACAAAATCTGATTGCAAACACAGTGAGTATTATTTTTTGCAGCTAACCAGGAGTTGAAAACGCCCGGGTCGAGTGGAATTCTCCAGTCGGTCAAGTAAATATCCACATTAAACTTTGCCATGGTACAGCAGTGCCAAACTACTGAAATGTTTTGATGATGAAATAAAAATGTGATTGTCTGTTGTTCATAATTGATAATGATTGTTTGCAAAAGAAACCAAATTGTTAATTGTGGTCAAGTGAAATTAATATTTGGTCAAGTGGATTTTGAAAGTTTACTTGACCTGTGTCCAGTGGAGTTTTGAAAAAAATGTTCAACCTCTGGCTAACTATTGCATAAGTATGGTAAATTCACACTGATGCTGCTTTATTAACTAAGGACCATAAAATGACTATGGGCTTCAGGTGAAATTGAAAATCAATCAACTCTGGGTGAGGCATACCATCGTGGGGTGGCATTAGTAAAGACCCACACAATCAAACAATGATGACAGTCAGCCAAGTCACAAAACCTTCCCCTGTCCCTGATCGCCATTTTATCCAGGACAGTATGGACTGATTGGAGTGTATTTGATCTCTCTTGATTCATGGACCCATCAGGTGACCAACCATTTCACAAAGCAATCGGACCTACACCTGTCATAACATCTACAGATTAAACTAAGTTCCTAGAGTGTCACCTCACCTTCCTCCAACACCACTTTCTTCTTCTGGTCCATCATGTCCCCCTGAGTTTATCCAGTCTCTGCTCTGTTTGCTGATCTCCAGCTTGATCCCACCAGCTTTGACTTTACACCCATTCAGTTCGTCGTCATCATCAGCCGTCTCCACATCAGCCCCTTGGCTGATAACATCAACACCCCCCTCCTTCCTTGATTCACAATCCCATCTGCCTTTCTTACTTTCACTATTTGATTTTTCTCCTATGACATTCACACTAGATTTCTTTTCTTCACAATCCCACCGCCCTTTTTTCTTACGCTGGTTCTGTGAAATAGTATTCCCATTAATCATGCTGATTTCCTCATCCAACAATTTACTCATCTCTTCCATTGAACTGACAATATCAGGGTCATGCTGGTCCAGTGTGCTCTGTTCCTCCTTTTGTTTCGAGGCAAGGAAATCTTTGAATAATTCATCAACAATAGTCTGTGAGGCAGGTAATGATAGTGACTTAGTTCCAGAACTTGGTGGATTGGAACATGAGCTTGGGTAATTTGACACTGTTGAGGTAGATTGATTCCGAGCACTAGTCAGAGGGGAGAATGCGGTGTGGGAAGACTCCTCTGCTGGTCATCCAGCATCTTTAGTTTGCTGGCTGGGTTAGTGTGACTAGATGTTTTTGTAGTTACTACTTTGGTTACAAGTATACCAGAAGGCTGATTGGAATCTTGCAATCTTCTTAGCTTTGATTTTTTCCTCTCACTTTTCTGCTCACCAACCGTCTCCCCTGGGAGGGGAATGGCATCCAGAGAGGGGACAGGTACACTCATACTTCACTGTCCCCTTCTTCCTACCTGTAACAAAACAAATATAGTGTCAAAATTCATCACACTTATGAACAGAAGATTAAATTAAGGGAATATATGTACTCACCCCACACAAAAGCTAACTTATTTGGAAATTATCTAAAAACCTATGAATGGCATGACTACTGAACATAAGCTGAACATAGGTCAGTTAGTAGCAGGCAAGGAAATTACATATTTCCAACAATAGATAATGTAGTTGGTTGTCTAGTACTAGATCTAACATGCACTGCATTTCCCAATCCAATGGAAACTATGTGCTGACCGTCACCCTTTTGGCAATGTTTTGTTTTCAAACAAAGCACTTGTTAGGCTCACTTGAAAACACGATAAATGGTGTAGACGTTGTGATGCAATAAAACAAGTGATTTAAAATACTTATGATCACAATGTCAGTCTTTACGATTCGCCCTGCACAGCAGTCCAATGTCAGAATCTCTTGACAGATCACGTTTACCCGAGTACAGCGTCCGCTCAACTAACAACTGATTTGCAAACTATAAAAATATTGCGTTATTTAACTTTGATTACCTCAAGTGACGGATCTGTGTCCCATATGATATAATACAGTTCTCGGTAAGAAACTGACACGCTGCATTATCGCATATCTTCCCCACTTAAAAAATGAGACTGAGAAACATGGCGGAAATACACACAAAGGTAGGTAACTCTATGACTTTTGGTTGTCTCCCCTTATCAAGTATACCAAAACTTCTCACACGCGACGTATTCGTACGTCTTTGTATAAAGTAACAATGTTACATGACCACAATCGTATGTCTGTGTTAGGTATAGGAGTAGTCTCTCGTACAGACCCTGAAGCAAACATATCCAAGAAAGCCCACACAAGTCTAGAAAATGTGGCAAGTCTAGATTTCCTCAGAAAGTATCAGGGCTCCTTTTCATTATATATTTATTTTTTTTACTATGAACTTTTTTCAGTAAAATATGTTCATTTCAGAGCCTAGTTGTTAGTCTAGTATAGGAGTTAAGATCACCTTAAGATCGCTTTATTTAAGAAACCCAGTTAGCTCTACTCTCATATATAGTGTAATGTTTCGCCCTCAACTATTATAGTTAAAGTACGAGGACGTTATGATATACAAGTTCACAATAAAAAACAAATAATTTTAAATTGTGAATATGAACTTGAAGTTAGTTGTAATTAGAAAATATTGTGATGAAAAAAATTACTAACAACGTATTGAAACAACTACGTTCACTGCCATTTCCCCAACCGGGACAGTTAACGTCATTTAGAGTGAGTGAGATTAGTTTTATTCCGCTTTTAGCAATATTCCAGCAATATCACGGTTTGGGACACTAGAAATGGGCTTCACACATTGTGCCCATGTGTGGAATCGAACCCGGGCCGTCACCTTGACGAGCGAATGCCTTAACAACTAGGCTACCCCTACACCCCACGTCAGGTAGAGACAAATTGAGTTAATTGATATGGTTAAACCTAACGAGGGAAATTGTACTTAGTAATATATAAGAAGCTACCAATTAGATGTGCTTTAGCTGTGCTGTTATGGTAGAGCAATTCATTATTCAGTACTTGCTTGACAACCCGTGAAGGTCCGGGTTAGATTGTACCTTCAGTAACCCATGCTTGTCGTAAGAGGCGACTAACGGGATCGGGTGGTCAGGCTCGATGGCTTGGTAGACACATGTCAGCGGTTCCCAATTGCGCAGATCGATGCTCATGCTGTTGATCACTGGATTGTCTAGTCCAGACTCGATTATTTACAGACCGCCGCCATATAGCTGGAATATTGCTGAGTTCGGCGTAAAACTAAACTCACTCACTCACTTGCTCGACAGTGATACAAGAATCTGTATCGAAACGTCGCATCACCAGAATAAAGAAGTTGTTCATCCATAAAGTTTCTGCACCAACTTCTTAATATGAAACTCAAAGAAGTTAAAGGACATGATATTGAGCATACTAACGATTGTACAGATGACGTTTATGTATAACAAAAGCGTTTTAAAGAGTGTTGTATATTAATGCACATGTTGAAGACAACAGAATTGTAAAATTACTTAAAGACGAAATATGTTCAATGTGTCTCCACTGTGTGTCAAATTTAATAATCGGCCCAACCTTGAGCTCCCACGATCATCAACTGACGTTCAGGACCGTATGGTAAGAAACCAGTCATGAAAGAAGTCGATGAAAACAGGCAATCAAATCGCTGTTCACTTGCCAAGCCTGATCCTGATCAGACAATTATTAATCGTGCAGACGATTTCCACACGCCCAAGCTACATGCCATCTTTACCAAATCGACACATTCTTGCCAGAGGCCTATGATGGTTAAGCTAGAATCCGGGTAAGGCTTTCAAATGAGTCAGATTAACTTTGGACTTATTTTCATATGCGTGGAGTTGCCTGGGGGCGTTGGAACGAACGTCTTGCGAACGCCAACGAAAGGACAACTGAAGACATTTGGGGATTGCCCTGTAATGATGCGGCAAGATAACAAAGGCTGCCAAAACGCCACTGCATATTGTTCATAGAAGGACCACCGGACAGTTCTACTGAGACTACATGATACTGGATCAAAAGATGTGTCATTTGTGCGACAGGCTGGTCCACTTTTTGCCTTTCAATACAGTAATGCTCGTACCCATCACTCACGTATAACGGATCACCTCATGCAGGCAAACATCATCAGTATGGCCCGAGTCCCCACCTTCCTATAGGGACTGACGGTTCCGGGTCGTTTCACCCCAAGTAATTTCACACGGGATGTTTCATCCCAGTTCCAAACTAGGTCAATTTATCCCACATTAGGGGTCGTTTCACCCCTAATCAAGAGTTGTTTCACCCCAACTAACGGAGTATACATGGAGAATTATTAATGCTTAAATCTCTTAATCCTAATTAGGCAGGTTTTTTACAACAATCAGGTAAATGCTACTGTGTCTCTGTAACCTGAATAAAAAAAAGAATCTAGCGACAAGGCCACAAAAACTATGCAGTTTGTTTTAAGCAAAGGTAGATTATCTTGTGATTATCAGATACCCATTATTCATTATTCGATTGCTTGGTTCTCCGTGTTCTTCTTTATGGGTGTGAATTATGGGGTTGGTAGTAGGTATTGGGTCGGAGGGCGTTACTTAATTTCAGAACTTCAAACCATTATCCACCAATTGCAACAGGACGATGGATCAAAACTCCCCCACATGAAAGATTATGTACTCTCTGTAATGCAAACGATATTGGAGATGAATTTTACTTTTTGTTTATTTGCCCTACATTGGCCCAAGAAAGGAAAAATATATCAACAACTATTTCTGTAGAAACCCAAATATACACGAAATGAACCATCTTTTTCACTCTAACACACGGAACAATTAGGAAATTAGCAATATTATTGCAAAATAATAATGTCTCATTATAAGCAACACCCCCTGCCCCCCACAAAAGATAACCAATAACGTATGAGCGTAACATTGTTCATTTAACTGGTTAAATGTTTGTACAGACAGTTTATTCTTGCAACCAAGCGATATGTATGTATGTATGTATGTATGTGTGTGTGTGTGTGTGTGTGTGTGTGTGTGTGTGTGTGTGTGTGTGTGTGTGTGTATGTATGTATGTATGTATGTATGTATACTGAGTCAAAAAAGAAACTTCACAAAATGTAATTTGAAAAATAATGAATAATTTTTTTCTGATGATACATCTATGTATCCGAAATGGGATCCCTATCTTTCGACTCTAGAAAAACGTTAGCAAAACCCACTCAAACCCATCCATTCCTCGTGCAAATGATGTTAGTGCCAAATCAGGTTTTGCACGTGCAGTCGATCACGTGATCTTCGCATCGAAGTTTTCTTCATATGCACGTGTTTGCATTGACCTCAAGAATTGGAAAAACACTTTTAAACCACAGTTCTAACGGTACTTGAAATGCCACGATTGTCAAATGTGCAACGTGAACGTGCAATTGGCATGTTGCAAGCGGGAAGATCAGTTATTGACGTCGCAAGAGCAATGGGATGCAGCCGTCGTACTGTGTATGACTTGTGAGGTCGTCTACAACAAACTGGCACCACTTCTGATCGCCCAAGGTCGGGTTGTCCACGTGTGACGTCACGAGCAGAAGACCGTCAAATCGTCCTACGTCACCTACGTGACAGATTTCTGCCGGCTACACGAACCAGGGCTGAGATGTTTAGAGGTCGACTGTCCTCACAGACCATTCGAAATCGGTTGCGGGCTGCCAATCTCCATTCTCGACGTCCATATCGTGGGCCAATATTGACGCCGTTTCATCAACGTCAACGTCTGCTGTGGGCCCAACGTCACCTCCGATGGACCCAGAGAGACTGGAATCGAGTCGTCTTTAGCGATGAATCCAGGTTTACCCTCAGATTCGCGGACGGCAGGCATAGAGTCTGGAGACGACGTCGTGAAGCGGTATGCCCAATGTTGTGTACAGGAAGTCGACAGATTCGGGGGCGGAAGTTGCATGGTGTTGGGTGCTTTCTGTGGGAATAACCGTTCCCGACTTCTGGTCATCCGTGGAAACTTCACAGCTGCTGCTTACCGCGACCAGGTGCTCACCCCTGAACTCGTTCCTTTCATGGCGGCTCATGGCCCAGGTCTACAGTTCCAGCATGATAATGCTCGGCCGCATACCGCGATGTTGACACGAAATTTCCTTCAAAACGCTGGAATCAGCGTCATGGACTGGCCATCGAGGTCCCCTGACCTTAATCCAATAGAGCACGTTTGGGATGCACTTGGGAGAAGGCTTCGTGGTCTTAGGAACCAACCTCAAAATTTGCAGGAACTTGGCGCTGCCTTGCAAGAGCAATGGCGCAGAATCCCCAACCACGTGTTCACAAGCATCAGGCAGTCGATGAGGAGACGGTGTTTGGCAGTGGTGAATGCGCGGGGCGGCCATACACGATATTGAACTGAGAAATTTCGCATTTTTATTCTT